GCAGCTTTATGACCCTCAAATTTATAAATGGGTGATCCAACTCCATTAGAAGTGAGATTTCTTCGATCAAACATGCGAACCGTATTATCCGCTGACCTGAGAGATCAACAAAAGAAGACAAATACTGTTTTATCGTAACCCATCATTGCAAAACATGAAGAAGCACTGCAATTTTCATAGTGCATCATATTTTAGTACCAAAAGGAAAATGCAAAACTGAAAGAAACAAGGACTGAGACATACCCGGTCAGAATAAGATTATCATCATGGGGGTTCCAATCAACACAATGAAGATCAGCATTATGTGCCTTTTCAACCTGTCAACAAGAAACCAAACAATTTAGCATATATAATCAAAGGCATCGGTATATTAAAATTAAAAATACCATACAATCAAATGTTACCAAGACTATAAAAGAAAGCATGGGAAACATGAAGCCTTGGTTGATTCCACCAGGAGGAATTCATAATTAGAAAAAGAAGCTAAATGGTTGGCTTTTTGATATCAAATCACATCATCTTAAAAATTATTTGGAACAGACAAGCCATCATGAGAATGAAGTGCCACACAAGGAACAGCAACATATAACTACAATCAGAAATACAGGAAACCAAACTGTTAACAAGTTTGTGCAAAGGAGTTGAAGAAGTGGCATGGCAATCCAGCCACCCACATAAAAAGGGAAAAGTAAGGTACAAAAATGATGCTGAATGATTCAAATCATTCACATCATCCTCTCAACTGTAAACCACTTTACAGACGTCAATCAAAGGCTATTCAAATATCAGGTCCAATGATCACAATGAGTACTGAAGATCCTTATTGTCGAGCTCTTATTTCAACTCTTTTGAAACTTCATTTTCGTGAATATACATACTATTTTACACACACGCACACACACACACACACACATTCATCCAAAGTAAGAAAATGAAAAAGAGAGAAAAGAGGGGGTGGGGGAAGGAAAAAGGAAACCACTAAGCAGTTAGTATCATTAAAAAAGCAAAAATTATGGAAAGTCACCTTGACAGTGGGGCTAGTGCCAACTCGTGCATCCCATAATATGAGGCAGGAATCATCTCCTACGCTACAAAACTCCTGTGCACTTCAGAAGATATGGAAATTTGTCAGATATTAGTCGCCATATGAACAATGTCAAAAGCATCAATACAGAAGCCATTTCAACGGTGGAAAAGAAAGCGATGAAAAACCATTTGAATAAACTCACCTTTACATGAAAAGTTTATGAAGAGAATTCAAAAAGAATAAACCATAAAGAATTACAGCATTTAGATTTTATCCAAGAGAAGAAGGTACCTAGATGGACAAAACGTGACATCTTCAACAGTATCCTCATGCCCACAGAAGATACCACGAGGACCTACAGAAGGCCCGTCAGAAGCTTTATCATTCTGTTTGATGATTGATCCACCAGATGCTGGAGATTTGGTTGGGTCTGTAGCTGTTGCTGTTATGTGGTCCTGGATGCTCCACAAAACCACTGATTTGTCCTTCCCTGCCATAAAAGTGCTCTCATTAAGAAGAAAATCCCATCACATGAAATGAGATTCAGTTTTGCTGAGTCCATTTCAAAAAAGTTTAAAAAAATATGACCTTCAGGACTTGAAACAATAGTTGTAGGAATATGGAATCAAAGTAAAGTTATGCAGTTATAAAATAGCTCACAATAAGACATACCATATAGCACAATCTGACATACTTCCTGAATCAGATAACAAAGCTATTTCATACATATGATAATAATACTTTGTGTGTGAAAAAAGGGCATACTCATCTATCAAATTAAATAATTTTAACTTGATTACCACTTTGCGAGAGGAAGATAATGAATTCATAACATCTCATATGATCATATCAAAGATATAAGATCATGATTTCCGTGAGGATTTCAGTACCAAATATATTGATGAAAGTATTGATTCCAGGCAAAAATATAGTTAATTGAATGATAAAACTTCCCAACCTCCAGAGAGCACATAGGGTTCCGTAGGACACATTGCAAGAGCAAATTCTGCATTATCTTGATGTCCAGTCAAAATCTGCCAAAAAGAAAGGAAAAAAGGGAAAAGTCATAAGTGAAAACAGTTCATTCACACTCGTCCCCTTTTCCAAAGAACACAGACATACAGATAAGTAGCATAGATAGATTTTACTAAACATAACTGAAATTTGGAAATAAATATACCAAATCTGGGCGAGAACTCGTTGCTCCAAGAACTGCATGACGATTGGGTTGAGCTTCAACATCCCAGATAAGAACCTAAATATCATCAAGTCAAATATCAGGCAACTTTAATATCTTAAAACGAAAACATGACAGGAATATTGGCTCCAAAAAATTTGACAACAGAAATAGCAAGGGTCTTACATCAGGACTATCAGTGTGAGTGGCCACAATCTTAGAGTTCTGAGGAAGTTCCCTGATTCTGTTCACCTGCAAGATAGTATTTGGTGACCACAACATATAACAATAAATCCACACACAAAAAAAACAAAGAAAAGGGATAAAAAAAAATTATAAAATTTTAAAGTCATACATGCAAAACAGGGAATTCAAATAAGCAGAATATCTAGTTCCCACCAATGTCAAACATCAAAAGCATGGGGCTTTTAATGCCCCAGCTAAAAAAGAAGAATTACATTGCTAGATCAAATAGATCTCTTTTATGCAAAGATAGCGTGAGCTCCAACAAAACTGTTCGTAGTTACATCAGCACACAACTATATATAAACAAATTTATTTTTCTAGAATGTGCAAGATTCATACCTCTCCAGGATGTATGATAGTCTTGTACTTCTTCACAAATGGTGAGCGTGCTTCTTCATTAAACTGAAAAATATGAAGCAATCATGTATATAAAAAGAAGCAAGCTGCATACATCAGTACTGTAAGTGCAGAGCAAGGAACAAGCTCCCATGAAAATGAATTACCTGAGATATGTGCTCAGCAGCTGCCACCCTAGGTTTGACAACTTCACAGTTCGCAATCACAAGAGTATTTGGTACACTACCATCAGTCTGGCATTAAAACATTAGCAATAACAAAAAGTAAAGATGTCAAAAATAATGATAATAACTATTTTTTCCAAAAGAGGGATTTTAGGTTAAACAACTTAAGCACAAATTTAACATGCTTCAACATTGTTCAACCAAGCTTTTGTTGTAAGTTCCATTAATTCAAAGGGTTCTAAGCTTGGTGCATCTGTTATTGCTTTAACAAATTAAGAGTCCAGAAAGAGTATTTTTTTGTTATGTAAAACTGAACACCAAGCGACTGACAAAATGAAACAAAAGGGGGTTCTTCCGTTCAGTCCAAGCCATGTTTCGGTAGCCAAAGAAATTCCCTATAAAGGAAACACGCTTGCCTGTTCAGAGAGGTAGAGACGCTGGCGATTCTTGTAAGTAGCTTGTTCAAGCTGTGGTCCCCAGCTGTTCAAAACCAAATTAAACTATCATCAAGAAATATGAAAAAGAAGAAATAAAAAAAAAACCTCAGAAAATGAGCTAAATTGGCAACAATGTAAAACAAACTTAAAGCAACAAAAACGCTCATTTCGTTCCTCGACAACTACAAACAATTAATGCCAGCCATCTCACACTTGAAACACAATGATACATAAATAATCACAGGATTCAAGAACTGAAAACAGATCAGAAGCTCCGCAAGAGCACAATAGGTTTTGGCATAAAAAATTTAAGATATCCAAAATCAAACTCAATAACCCAAAATAAACCCTAGACGCAAAAATAGCATCTTTATTAACAGCAGAACCAAAAACCCAAGCGTTTGCAACGAAAAGACCAAAACCCAAAAACCCTAAAAAGGGTTTAAAGAGAGATACCGGCAAGAGAGAGAAGGCCAAACAAGATTGTGGTTAGCAAGCCAGTCATACAGAACAGGGACCAAAGATTTCCATTGAGTGTACTTCTCATCAACGCTCGGTTGTTGGGCTTTCTTTCCTTCTTTCATTTTACCAGCGCTTTGTTGTTGTTGTTGTTGTTGTTGCTGCTGCTGCTGCTGCTGCTGTTCTTTCTCGTCCTTTGGTTTTGGTTTTCGGCCTCTCTTCTTGGGACCTTGCTGCTGCTGCTGCTGTTGCTGTTGAGATTGGGGAGACTCCATTTTTGAGATTGGGAGTGTTGCTGATACTTTAAAAGCAAAGAAAGAAAGGAAAAAACCAACGATTGGTTTCCGGGGACCCAAGACCGGACCCTACTGGGACTGTGATAGGGGTTTCGAAGAGAATGGGAAAAAATAAAGTACTAGTAAATATAGTGGTGAAGGTTTTTGTTGGGGTTACGCTCTTTAAAAGGAAAGTGGTCTACACGCGGCAAGTTGGTAGAGCCTAACCCTTGCATCAGTAGGGGCTTACGGCTCAGGCGTTGCTCAGATGTGTTGAACAGTTGAACGGGATTCAGCCATTTATATTCACTGGTCAAGGCTTATTGCAGGTTTTTACTCAGTTGTTGGGGTTTCAACTTTTTACTTTTTGGCAATTGATGGGTGCTTGCCAGCGTTGCTCACTCGGAAGTAGGAAGTAGGAACTAGGAATCCGAAGACAGATTCCACCAATGGAACTGCAACGGAAACTACGGAGATTGCTAGGGATTTGTATTTGAGCTTTAATAGAGACTTCTAATCAACTCATGTTTGGCCTATCATCTGACTCAATTCATTCAAATGAGAAACCTCCAATTCTGATTCACTCCTTGTAAATGATCTTGCTTAAAAACTAGAAATCCAAGAGCAATTTAGGAAGGGAAGAGAAAGCATCAATGCATTTCAACCACCTACACATTTTACAATTGGTCCTTCATACTAGTCTTTTTGTTTTCTTGCTACTTGTTAAGATTCACACTTGCTTGAACCCATTTTGGCAGCCATCGTTTTATAAGTGATACCACGAAGCAAAAATCCAAAGAACTAAACATTAGAAGTGGGTTTTCCACCCTCAGATACTTCATAAGTTGACTTGAATACTTCATGCTGAACTGTGTGCAACTGAAATAATTTGATATAACGAAGGGTCCTACATTCGAGCATGTATTAAGAATATCAAAATCTTATCAAAGAAAGCTATCATCATCTGATAAATGACAAAAATCTCCATAAGTAACAATGCCAAAGCCATGATCCTTCACATGACATCATTCTTGCTCAGCAAAACATTTTAAACTGGTTGAACAATGTGGAAATCAGACATAAACACCAGCTGAAAGTAGCAAAAACAACGACCCAAAGCCCTGCAAGGATATCAATAATCAAGCATCAGCGATGCAGTAAACTACACGAATTATGAATGAGAAAATCCAGTCAAAACAGATACAACAAGCTATACCAGGAAGACAGATGCCACTCCCCCAGTGGTGAGCTCCTTGGCAAGGCTGCTGTTTCGCTTAGAAGAAGTTGCTTCATAGCTGCATATTTTGGCAAAATGAAAATTTTCATAAACCTTTTCAACTGTGATCTTAGGCCTATAAAGATTGTATCAACCAGGATCTTGTTTTGGGCAATGTTAAACAGTAAAGCAATCAGAATCTATGCATGAGAATCTAACTTAACTTTTACAAACATCAGCAAAGATTTCTCAGGAAAAAAAAATCAAGCGAAAAGAAGTTTGAATAATTGAAAGGTAATATTGTTACAGTTTAGTGAAAAGAGACCTCTAAGTTCTAAATACAAGATCCAACTGATTTGAAATTCTTTTCTCTCTAGTGAAAAAGAAGCTTGAGTAGATTCAAAGCTAGCATCAGTACAGGTAAATAAAAAGCGACCTCTAAGTTCTAATTATGAGATCCAATGGACACAAGGAAATTCATTATTCTCAAGTGAAACCAAGTGCAAGTAGATTTAAAGGTAGCATTGATACAGTTCAATGAAAAGAGATCTCTAAGTTCGAACTGTAAGATCCAACAGATATGAAGCTCCTTAGAGTCAAAACGTTCCCATCCTCCAAAACTACAAAAACAATGTGCTAAAGATAGAAAAAATAGCAGAATATAATGCATGAAAACACATTTACAATAACAAACTAGATGAGCTCAGATACAATTTGACAAATGCAAAATGTTGATCTATCACTTTTGACAATCTGCTACTTGCCTTAGGCTTTGGAATTAACAGATAAAAGTTAAAACTTTAAAACACCACAACCAAATCAGAAAAACCAGATACTCTTTAAAACAAAATCACAAGAGCTTTTAAAACCCAAAAGGACTCAAACCAGACATGGAATGCCACGATTCCGACTGAAAACTCTATAAGAAAAAGGTCAACAGAAGTGAATTGCAGTATTGTACCCAGCAAAAACACAAAGGGGAATCATCAACAATTCACACTTGTATTCTATTCTCACTTAAAGTAGCAGAATGAACTGTAACCTGCAAATTGGCTACTTAAAAAAAATTATTTCCAAACGACTCATCAAATCTATGAAAGGTACATTATAAACTAAGAAAATTAAGTTCCAATTATGCTAATGTATGCCTATTATTATAACCAATCATCAATTTAGAAGTCATATAAAAAATCAGGCGGTGTCAGATCTAGTTATACAAATTTCAAGCATATAAGGGAAAACAAAAAGCGGAAAATTGGCTCCTAAATCGAATCTACTATGAAGAACAAAACGGGCAAAATGAAATTTATTCTAGCAACAAAGGGAGACAAGTTGGGGATGAGATAAGAACAAGGCAGTTACATGAAGAAGGAAGCGGTGAGGACAAGACCAATGGCGAGCATAACGACAGCTAGGGTTGGGTACCACGCATCTGGCACTGGACTCGTTATTGCTTTTGCAGGAGGAGCCTGAGACAAAATCATCAAGCAAATTATAGCGGAAACCAGAAATAAATAGACCCCTAGAAATGCTTCGAATTCAATTGAGAAAGATTTACCATCGATCTTTGTCTCTTCGCTTCGGATTTTGGATGGTTGATCGAAGAGAGTGGAAACAACGCGCAACTAGCTCTTTGTAGGTGACAGGTTTTGAGTTTTATGAGACTCTAGAGTCTTGACCCTGCAGTCTTGGCTTGTATTGGAGCTTAGGATTCGGCACAGCACGGTGTATGAAAAATATGTGTTCTCGGGTCTGGGCGTGTTTGGGACTGTCGATGATGTGAACCGATATTTAACCGCGAGGGAGTCAAGGCTAAGGCTGTGTTTGTCTTTGCATTCCTCAACTAAGTTTCTTCTTCCTTTTACGATCTCCCGTTTGCTTGGTTTCACTTGGTACGAGTAAGAAATATTTATAAGATTTAGATATATGTTAAAAGTTTCTTTGATATTTCACATTTGTTTGGTTGGATTCTATTTGTAGTCTTACTAAAATTAATGTCAAAATTAGAAGAATCCAATCAAAAGAGAGCTCAAAATCCAGAATAGTGGCAAGTCTACTTCATTCATGAATCATGGGGCTAAAGCAGGCCTCATCTTATCAAGCCTTTGTGCCCCTCAAATGTACATGCTTATGCCATATAGCCCTATAAACCTACGTTTGCAAAAGAGAAGATATCAATTTCTTTAGAATTCTGCAGATTTGACATTAAGAAACAGATGCATTTCATGATACAAAGAAAACAAAAGGTTCTACACATTTGAGTGAGATGGGAATTCACAGAACAAAAAGGTGTTGAGGGGGTGGGGGGTCTCGGGGAGTACAAAGGGTACTTCTTCCTTCCAAGAAGAGAAGATCAAGACGAACTCAGAATAATTCTGAGCCTCAAAATGGAAATTTTGCCCCATCTTATTATCAATACTCAACCCCCACAACGCAATTCGGGGTGTAGATCATGGAAGCCTTCCATCATAAAAGGCAAGTGAACAATTCATTCTATGCTCATAGTGCAGCTGCATGTTGACAGCTCCTGCAGTTGCCAATCTGACGCTTATTCAGGTTGATACAAACTCGCCATAACAACCATCAGAAGTTCTGAATTAAGAATATTGCTGCACAATTTTGCTTTCTCTAGAGTTTCCTTGTCTATTTCCCAGTTTCAAATGGGGGAGCAAGGAAATGCTCTGTGCCAAAAAATTGAAGGACAAGCTGATGTACATGCATGGAAGAGGGATATTTCACTGTGACCCTGGCCAGAACCTCGTCATAACACCATGTTCACTGATGCTGCCCCTCGACAATCTTTGCACTTTTTGCCAGAAATGACTGCCCCTCGCTGTTCTCAAGGGACCTGAATTACAGTGCCTCCTAAATGACCCAGATGATTGCCTTCCAAATCTTGCTGATGAACTAAACAAATCTGACACTGATAGTCCTCTCTCAGTATCAAGACCAGTGTCATAGTTAGGAATCAAATAATGGCTTTGCATGGGATCAGCCAATTGTCCTGAGCCAGTACTAACCCTAGCATCCAGATCAATGGACAAATCATCCTGACTAGAACATCTTGAACCTACTTCTTTTGCCTCATCACATTCGTTACATACTAGTTTTAAAGCCTGAACAACCTCACCCATAAAAGGTCGGTGTGATACCTCTGGTTGAACACACATTGAAGCTATTGCTGCTACTTTGGCCACACTATCAAAAGGAACATCAGAACCTAGCGATGGATCTACAATTGTTTCTAACCCTTCTTTGGTTGTGAGAAGAGGACGAGCCCATGCAACTAGATTCTCCTGACCTGGTGGCTGTGTCATATCTACGGGTTTTCTCCCCGTCAGAAGCTCAAGAAGGACTACACCATAGCTGTAAACATCACTCTTCACAAGTAGATGGCCAGTCATTGCATACTCAGGAGCCACATACCTGGCCAATGATTCATCAGGAGTAAATGTCAAAATTACAAATAGCACTGACAAAATAATGATACAAGAACTAAAAGGTTTCTTCTTTTTTTACTTTTTGGATCAAAAGAACTGAAAGATTTGTAGAGAGAAGCAAGTAAGTTACATAACACAACACCAATTGATCATGAGAAAGATGGTTAATACAGTCTTGACCTCCAGTAATTGGAAAGTATTTCCTTATTTTATGTTTACTGCAACCTTTTAAATGGCTAAAGAAATAAGGATTTTCAAGTTGAATAGAATCATCAAACAAAACCTGCTATATAAATCAATTTCCTAAGTGCTTTCATTGTTAAATGAAATATCCTCAAACAATATACATCTCCTTAGGGTAATAATGTGTGGCTTCCATTTCTTCTAGAGGAAAGCTACTTCCTGCTAGCATGCATAAATCAAGGTATAACATCAACATGCATATCAAGTGTAGACTCCATGTTCTGATGGTCATGCCTAACACACATAACAGGCCAGGTTGGCACACACAATAACAAGGATATGCCGAAACTAAATCCAACAAACGAGGTTTCATACCCAAAAGTTCCCATGACACGTGTCGAAATGTGCCTGCCTTCCTCGTCCATGGCAGTTCGAGCCAAACCAAAGTCAGACACTTTTGGTGTGAAATCATGCTCCAACAAGATGTTGCTTGACTTAAAATCCCGGTGGATGACACGTGAATCTTCATGGAGATAAGCCAGTCCACGACCAGCACCAAGGGCTATCTTTATCCGGGCATCCCAGTCAAGTGGTGCAGAATCCTTGTCAACTCCTGTAAAACAATACAGTAGAGGCAAATATAACCATTTTTTATGGAATTGATCACTAGGAATGCTGAATATTTTACCATGGAATAAACCACAGAAATTACAGCTTAACTACCATGCAAGTGAGATTCAACACTGCCATTTGGAATGAGTTCATAAACCAAGCAGCGGTTGCGCTCCTCTGTGCATATACCAATCAACTTCACCAAGTTTCTGTGGTGAAGACGGCTAAGCATCTCCACCTCAGCCAAGAATTCCCTGCCACCTTGCTGATCATCTCTCTTCAGAACTTTGACTGCCACTTTAGTTCCATCTTCAAGAACACCACTATAAACACGACCAAATCCACCTTCCCCAAGTATTCTTGAAGCATCAAAATTGTTAGTGGCTTTTTCTATATCACTGGTACTGAAGGTCTTCGCAGATCCTGTATAAGCTACAATGCTAGAGCCAAAGGACAGTGATGTGGAACTTAGACCGCTTCCAACCATTGACCCAGCAGAACCTGAAAATTTCAACATTTTTTTTCCACTTTAATTGGGGTAAAAATAAGAAAAGTTTTTTATGGATGCAATTTTCTGCCTATATATACAGTCTAAAGTAAGGCGAAATGTTGCCACTGAACTGATTACAGACAAATGCAACTCAAGAGATGTCAGAAGCAATGTGAAAATAGATATTATTATTCATAAGAAGTTTGAGGTATCAGATGATATGCTTGTTGTTTCCTACGGTAAATTGATGGATTAAGAAAACTGAAAGGCCAGAATATATTAAGCTCAATATAACCTGATGGTTTGGCAAGAGATGTTAGCGGAGGCTGTGTAGCTGCTGCTTGTTGACTAGCATGATCCCTATGTCTGAAAAGCAAAACCCATGCAATGGCAGAGCATAACACCATAGCCACCAAAGCAGACAGAACAATTATAGCAATCACGCCACCACTAAGCGCATTTTTATGCCGCTTTCCATGCACATCAACACCAAGGGGCTTTATAGCCCTTGCATTGTTGTCATCACCAGAATATGGTCCAGCATCAATTATACCAATGTCGGAAGGTGGCAAAGGTGGAGAAGGAGGCAACCCTAGAAATCCACTATCACTACATATTTCCATGAAGATATATGCCAAAAGAGAAAAAAAGGAAAAGCCAAAAAAGGAGCATGAACATACCAAGATAGCGCACATATAACACTTCATAATCCCCAAATAATGAAGTTTTTATGGCAACTTGTTTATGCCAAAATCTCTGATAAGTTAAAAAGGCTGTGGTGTTATCAAATTTTTCACCAAGCGGTACCAAGTCTATAAGGACAACTGTCTTCTCAGGTTGCTCACTAGCAGCATTAGCTCCAATAATGCGAACTTGACTTTGTTTCATAAAAACTCCAGCAGCAATTTCCGCTGCCAGCTCAGAAACCAAAGGGAAGAAAGTATAGAGGGCAACACTCAGGCGTAATCCAACTTGCATTGGCAAGACACAGCCACACGGAGATCCAGGAGGTGTATTTGTATAAGGTTCTGTGCAAATAGTTGTTGAACAATCTACATATATAATGAACAACATATTACACATTAGTACAACAGAACATACTTGAACATGAAAATTAGAGCAGACATACCAGAAAACGTAAAATGTAAAACACAGAATCTAGTCTTTAACCTTCATTAGGAGGTGGAGGTGGAAATGACATAACCGGTGGCGGAGGTGGCACCTTGGGACTCCTCAATGGAGACACAGAAGGAGAACCTTTTGGGGAGTTATGTGGCACTTTGGAAAAGCTCATGAATAAGTAAGCCGAGAATAAAGAAAATGAATATATATCACAACACATACTTAACATATTAAGTAACATTTTATTCTTACTTTTGGTCTGCCTAGATGCACTCATTGGAGATGGTGAAGGAATGGGAGAAACAGTGCTTACTGATGAAGGAACAGCAGAATGGGATGGGGAAACTGAATAAACAGCGATGTAGGAAAGTGTTAGAAATCAAAATGACTATTTAAAATCACTTCTCAGACTCTGTTCTGAAAGCATCAATTTAACATTTGCTATTTTGATACCAGAATGAAGGGGTGCAGGAGCATAGTGTCTTCGCCTTCTTCCAGGAAGAATTGCTGGAGAGATAACTGGACCTATGTAAATATTGAAAAGAAACATTAAAGAAATGTTATATGCCCATATAATTTTAGTATGTCTGAGACAAGTCTTTTGGCACAACATATTACACCTTGCTGTTTCAAAGGAGGAGGTGAAATCAGGTATGATGATGCAGGAGCAGGACTGGTTCTTCCATTTCTTGTATGTTGATGCTTATGAAACGAGATTGAAGGTGACAATGCGGGAGGGTTAAACCCTTTATTTGAAGGAGCGAGAGATGAAACAGGAGAATTACCAGTGTGCCTCATAGCTTTGGGTGCCAAAGGAGATTTGGCTGAGGAAGAACCTGCAAATAAGACCTTCAGCAACTCAATGGCGTTGGTAGTAATAATCAAATTAACAATTAGCTTGATATTTGCAGATTCACAATATACACCATTTTCTGGGGTATGGCTCAAAGGTGGCATTGGCTTGTGTATCTCATTCCTAGGTGACGCAACTGGTATTCCATCATTTTTCCAGTTAATGCTTGAGGGTGGAGTTGAAACAGGAGATATATCAGGATCTGCATCGCAGGCAATCAAAAATACCAAGGACATTAGAATATAATCTCACAAGACCAATCAAATACAATAATAATTAAAAAGTGAGAAGAACATATAGACATGGAAAATTAGCCATCCGTTCAACTTCCAAGATGAAATTGATATAATCTCGTAAGTAGAACCTGGTAACTGAGATGGAGTTCCTTCTGGCACATTTGGGTGGATGGTTGGTGAAATGTGGGGTGATTCTCCTGGTGGTGATACAACTGGCACCGCATTATATATCAAAATAAGCAACTCTTAACAGTCTCTTTGATTGAAATTTCATAGAAAACACAAAGTAACTAGGCCTACCTGGTAAAATGGACGGTGGCATGATTGAGTGGACAGGTGGTGGAGTCCTTTCTAATTTCCTTGGGGGAGATGCAACTGCTATTGTGTTTTGTGTAGGGATGGCATGGTAAAGGGGAAGCAGAATGAGAAAAGGCAGAAAAGTTCCAAAAGAGCATTCCCTCAAGATCTAAAAATGACATATCAAGCCATGAATTATGTACCTGGAGCAGTGGGCTTTGGAATAGGAGCACTTGGTGCTAACGCGGTTGGCCCTCTTAAGTGAATGGCTGTTTGATTTCGTGGTGAATTTCCCGAAGGTGTTGTAACTGGAACTACAAAATACAGTAAAAGCAGCAATATTATAACCAGACCTGGTGTTAAATCTATCCACTAATTACACATCAATCTACAAATTATGTACCTGGAGCAATTGGCTCCGTAACAGGTGCTGTCTTATTTGATGAATTTCCTTGATTGGCACTTGGGGCCAAGGCATGTGGCTTACTGGAGTGAATAGCTGGGGGATTTAGTGGTGGATTCCTCAATGGTGGTGCAACTGGAGCTACAAAATAGAGCAAAAGCAGCAGTATTAGAACCAAACTTGGTTTTAAATTTATCCAGAAAAAGACATCAAATTGCTGATTATGTACCTGGAGCAGTTGGCTCCAGAACAGGTGCCCTATTACTTGACGAATTTCTTTGATTAGAAATTGGGGGGAAAGCACTTCGCCTGCTGGAGTAAGTGGGTGGGGAATTTTGTGGTGGATTCCTCAGTGGCGGTGCAAATGGAGCTACAGATTATAATAAAGCAAGCTGTATTAGAACCAGACTGAATCTGTAATCTACTCAGTTATTAATTTATGTCTTTTGCAGAGCATCTGGCTTACTTTGATGGACAACTGGTGAATTTTCTGGAGAATTCTGTGTTGGTGTTATTGATGGAACTGCAAGAACAAGTGCATCCTTTAATTAGAACCATACTCAACTCTAAATTTACCCAGTTATTTGATGCATTTCTTTGATTAGCAAGCATACATGGGTGGATAGCTGGTGAATTCTGAGTCAAATTCCTTGAGGGTGATGCAACTGGAGCTGCATATTGAAGCCAAAAAAGAAGGATTAGAACCAGTGTCAATTTACATTAACTTGAGGAAAGCAAATCATTTTAGTCATGTACCTGGAGCATCTGGCACTAAGGGAGGAGACTTCATAATTGGTTCCTTCTTCTGCGGAGCAGTTGCTGACTTTGATGGTGAGTGTACTTGAACAAGCATAGGTGGAGGAGCTGTTTCAAATGGTGGCAACACCACAGGAGTACTTGGTGCCAAGGATGGTACTCGTTCTTCAATGGTAAATGGAGGCGGAGCTGTATTATATGGTGGCAATTCCATTGAATTACTCGGCGAAAAGGAACGTGCATGCCCTTCAGTCGTTCCAGGCACTGAGGCAAACATAAGAGGTGGTAATGCAGGAGGAGAATGCAAATCTGAACCTGGATTGTCAAGCCGGAAATTTCACTAAAAATCTCAAGAACAGGAACAATTGATAATGGAAAATGGACGTTACCATTTGGCTGAGATAGTGTGCTTGGTGCATCGCTTCTTTGTTCAACAGCACTAGGGATTCCTTCTGCAGGAAGAAACATAAAAAACTTTGCTGGAGATGGGGATGCATTGTGCCCTAAAACAAGACAAAAGATGAAATATTCTATATAAATTCAAAGAAGGCATACAACTTACACCCATTTGTCATTTATATTATTGATAAGTACGTTAGAAATTTAAAATTCTCTCAGGTAAACACCAAAATGAAACTTATCAGGCAATATTTTGCTTTTACTTATTACAGAATCATGACTGAGAAGCCTACTTTGTGAGATCAGATAGGTTATGATACATGATCTATAAAAATGACAAAGTCAAAAGAACGTTTAATTCAACCAAACAATAGCTCAAAGATACCCCACACGATCAGCATTCAAAGATCATTGTCTTTCTCAGAAAAATATATCTAACAACTAAAGGCCTTTTTGAGATACAGGAATAGCGGTCAAACTCTTTTCCAGAAACATATCTTAACTGTATGAAAGGATGTGTAAGGCATCCACGGAATACCATTACTTGGTAATTATGCTATTAAAATGCATTTCCCAGATAAAACCTCAACAAAAAGATCATTCTTTACTCGCACCCAAAGCTCAGCCTGAGTGAAGATGTACAATGCTTCAAGCCTCTGGTTAGGCAAACTGTCATTTTTTCTATAACAAGATGGTATATACGGATCCATGAAGGTGCTGGATCCAAATTCAGTGGATCTAAACTCTATAAGTTAATGTTACCCTAAAGAGCAGGTTTTCAGTAAAATTTTGAGAACATAATTGAGCACACAAGTTGAAAAGCAAAAACTTCCCGGCATTACCAGTCACAGAAACAACATTTGCAATGTTAAATGTGATCAAAAGATTGTTCACTTAAACAAAATTAAGTGAAGTCCCTGAACACACGTAAAATTCAATAACTTTGAGCAACTGGTCTAATCAAATCACATACTTCTAATAAGAGAGCTGGAAAGATATAGAATTGTACCTGAAGATCCTTGAACAATTAAAGCAAAGCCAATGATGCAGAGTCCGGCAAGCTGAAGAATCAGTGGCATCAACATCCGCATCCCATAAAGCACCAAATCTCACAAAATCTCTAAACAAGCTCCCTCGATGATGATGATGAAGAAAATTAAGAACCAGATAAAGTAATAAAAAAATGGAAGTATTTGATATTAAGAGATTAGACAGGTTACTTGAGGCAAGAAGAAAAGGGAAGTTAGATTAACATAAGACCCCCACAAACAGTGTAAAACAAGCAAGGATTAGTTTTTTTAGGCTGTATATGGGAAAACCCAGAATTGTGTTTGGTAAAAAGAAGCAAAGCAATCTTTTTTTCCTCAAAACCAAAGCTCTCAACTTCACAAAGTTCTGATCTTTCCATGTTTGACAGAACCGTTTTTGCTAACATAAGTTGTTGAACACAAAAAAAAAACTGACACAGAAAAAAAACCAATAAATGGAATGAAACAAGAAACAGAGACACCTCACAGAGTCACAGTGCCAAGTAACGGACAGAACCTTTTTTAGGAGAGAGAAGAAAAAAATATATGCATCAAAAAGAAAGATTTGGACAGTTTGGTGGATGAGTGCCTGTGAGAGAGAGAAGGAAGAAACTTAAATTAATAGTAATGTTATTTTAGTGGGCAAAGTTACTTAAAGTGGTGTTTTAATGGGGTTTGAACTAACTTTGTTTACTCTGGTATTGGAATTCATAAGGATTTGTTTAATGGGTTTGGCTTTGCTTAACTCCTAACTCATTTTCTTGCTGATTTTCAGTTGATCTCGTTGGCCAGTAAGAGATAGTGACTCCAGTGAAAGTGAGACTTGGCATGTGGCCAATTTCTATTTTGACACATCAACCAAGTTTCTTAATTTCGCGATGATTTTAGAACAGATTTATCCTTTCCTTTAAGACAAAAGTTAAGGTCCCACCAAGAAATAAGCGTTGGAATATTCCGATTTGTGGTTCATTGTCATCATCAGAAAGTAAGACTTACTCAATTCATACAAATACAACTACCTTTGTGGAACAGTGTTTGTGTCCATATGTTTTATGTATTCAGGTTACAGTTTATGTTAGTTGCTGCTCATTAAGGACCTTTCAGAGCTTCAAACAAATCTATAAGGCTACAATTTTGTTAGATAAGATAACGGGCCCACCAAAAAGAAAGAAGAAGAAGAAATTGTCTACTGCATGACGTTTTCATGCCTATCAATTTGGTCTAAGTCCATAACTCTAAATGAATTAAGCCATCTTTGAAATACGGATCAGAAAATTTTCCATTTTCTTGATTCCCTTGTGGATGTTATTCCTTTAAAGTTGATGATACTAGTATTGGATTTTTTAATACGCCGACAGCTCTTAATTGTCATAACAAAGTTTAGGTGGCAATTAAGACAACAGATTCCAAAGTCTAAAACAGGTCTTACCCTTTTCTCCATACTGGAAAACGCTGCTAATGCTAGAAAAATATACTATAAAAGAAGTTTAATCCAATGGACACACATTTAGCTTATTAAGTCCTTCATTTTTCCGTAGAAATAAAAAGCTAAATCACTCTTTATAGAAATACAGAGAATGGATTGACAAGCTGGAGCCCACTAAGCTAGTTTCCAAAACCTTAGTGCAGAACCTACAGAGTTAATGGCCAGTGGGTCTCAATATTGTCCCACAGCAGGGACCAGGCCACCGCCATTGCCAGCCTCCGTGGTAGAAGAGAGGAGGGGTTTGCTTGGAACGTAGCCAAGGAAGCCACTTTTTCACAGCATAGCAATAATTACGATTGCTGGAGGATGATGATGATGTGGGAGGGGGGCTGAAAGAAAGACAGACTATGGTGCATGTGACTGGAAAGGGGACCCGACAGGCTGAGTCATTTGAATTGAACAAGTCTTGATTGTCATGTATCTTTTGTTTGATGACGATGGGGGCTCAACCGTTTTTATTAGTTTCACTGCTGAAAAGTGTGTTTAAAGGTAAATAATAATAGCAAAATAACATTAAACAATAAGTACATAATAATAAAGTAGAAAGCTAAAAGCAAGTAAGCATTGCATGTGTGATAGTTGTCGCCTAGGATATGTTCTTTCCCGTTATCTAGCACTAGAAAATATGGTCGTATTGGTTTTGTTTTTTCTTTTCTTTGATGTTTGCATGTGATTTATTTCTCCCCCCCCCTTTTTTTTTTTGCAAAAGAACTCTTTATATTCCAAGGTTTATAATTGCATTTTACCGCAAGATGATCCCATACAAGTCAGCATCATACAGCAAAGGCTTCTTCACCAAATGACAAGGATCTTGTTCAAACTGAGAAATACTATACATTTTTCATTTTTTGTCACAATGCTTAATTGATCTGAGTTCTTATTCCTTAGGACGCCCACACCCCCAAATATCTGGATTCTTTTTGTTCTATCTAACGAATGTATATGCAGGGGTGGGTTGTATTTTATTGAAGAGAATTGGGCTTTTGGGGTCATCACAGCGAAGATTGTCCATGAATTCTACATCAGGAGATTCATCCATCAGACAAAAAACAAATATGTGGATGTAGACAAACCCCCTTATAATTCCCAGTTCCCAACCCCCTCAAATTCATTCGAAAACACTGAAACTTCCACCACCGTCCCCAGCTAGATTTATGGTGGACCAATTGAAATCAAGAACGAATAGCACCATACAAATTAGATTATGTTTTCAATTTAAGCAAATACGTGCTTGACCTGATGCCACACTCCCTCCGTTTTGGCTTCAGCACCGCACATCACTACTTTTGGCGAAGGGTGCCTTATCCTTTTTACAAGGCAGCCCAACAACAAACGCCAGAAGCCTGGGGCCATTACATAAAGGCCTCAGCAACCTTTTTTTTTTGGCAAACCACGTGGAGATATGCAGTAATTAACCTCCCATGTCTTTTTGGCATATTCTATTGCTGTGTTTGCCTTTGTTAAGGCTGAAAAAGATCTACGCTTTAAATGATATTCCACCAAATCGGATTGGACCTGTACATAACGTAACCAGCAAGGAACCTCTTAATGTTACACCCCCGGCATTAATGCACCTAACAAACCTATGACGATTTAATGCAGAGCACTCTTCTGTTCTTTCATGGAAAAATCAGAGGACGCAAAATTCTTCACTGCTTTAAGAAGGCTGCTCGCTCCTCATACAAGATCAATTGAAAAGACAACAATTCAGTCCTCGAATTCCTATGCTACAAAAGGTAGAAAGGGCCATAGTCACCTCTTCCCACTGAGCAATAAGAAACATAACCAATTGAAGTATGTAAATTTAACTATTGCCAACTGCCAAGTATGGTAAATGAATGCTACATCGAAGTAACATATACCATGAGCCCTTGCGGCAAAATTTGCCAGTACATGAACAAAAGCAGTCCAAGATTGGGATAAAACTACAATGGAAAACGTTAGTCTAGAAAGATTTTCTGTTTTTTTTCCTTGGAAAAGGCAGTGTACAAATTGTATTAGAAACGTAAGGCATCAACAACTCTATACTTCAATAAATAAATAAATAACAGTAAAGGCCGACTACTGCTGCGAAGGTAAAGTAGTAGGGTTCTGACTCTGAAGGCTACGCAGCTCTTGATTAAAGGATTTCACCAGTTCTTTAAAATATTATACAATTAGGAGGCATCGTGCAGGGACTAGTATAATGGAAGCTAGTTTAGTTAAAATTTCAGCTTACATTGAAGGGTAATTCGGACTGAAACAAAATTCAACGAACAATGGTAAAAAATTTTGGATTCCTGGAAAAAGCCCTGACCAAAGGGGGGAAGGGTTTCATATCTTCCCGTTTGGCAACTTACATTCCCAGGAATATAAGATGGCCATGCCAACTAAACACGGGCATAGTCGGAATCAAAGATTCCAAGAGGAAATGTAAGATGTCCTGATTGCATTGCCGCTAGGGATTCAACATCCTTCCAAACTGATTAAGAACACCCTTGGACACAATTTGTTATGAGCACAAGGCTCCTCTTCATTGATATCAGTGATTCTTCTGTTGGATCATCATATAATTTTTAAAAGTCAATGACTCGGATCAAATACCTCAAACCGTTTTTTGAAATTTTCTGCCAGCTTTGTTTCCTCTTCTTTTCCAAGAGTACAATTCCTCCAATCAGCTCTATCTGCCATGTTCAGTAGGCCTGCCAGAACCTGCATAAGATTTCACACCGATCAATCTTTTATTCATTGGGATAGATCCATCTCCTAAACATTAGCTATAGAGATTAAGTTATGTTAGTCATTCTTTTTCAAGAAAGAAAAAGAAGAAATGAAAAGTATGGTGATCATTAGCTGTATTTAACCAAAGGACTTTACCTAATAACTAAGAACTTCATAATTCATATCCTTCATAAAGATAAGAAATCTCAAACACTAGAATATTCAAAACTGCATATTCTGCTGCAAATTTACTACTCAGATCTAACCCCAACAACAGCTTTTATTCATCAATGTAACTAAAACATCTTTATGACAAAAATAATTTTAAAATTATGGTACAAGCTCCAAGATATAACATATAGTCCCAACTCCTGAATGAACGTCAGATGAAGCATGAACACCCATGCCATTGAGAGAAACAACTTCCAGTTAACAAGGCAAAAGTTTTTTTTTTTCCAATGACAATGAAAATGTCTCACCACTACTTCTCTTATTCTCTGTTTTCTATTTTTCACAAAAAAAAAATTACATTTGAATTGCATATGTGATTTAAATATGGCTCCGAATCATATGCTTTCTATATTACTTTACTTGTAAGAAGCTAATCTCAAGCTCACAACCAAGAAATGGTAACTGCATATGTCATAAGACATTGATGGGAATGAAGAAGCTATCATGAAAATCAATGTTAAAGACATGAACACTCTAATTATCAAAAATCTCAAAAGGCAAAAATTAAGGAATAAGGATACAAATCAAAGCATCTTGTTTAGTAATAAAATGCAAAATTACTTTAGAGTTTTTACTTTAGTAAGCAGGTGCCCAGGTATAAATAGGCAGCATCATCTCGCATTCAGGAGAGAAATTAAGAATCTTACCTCACGTCCAAATTGGGCAGGAAACTTTTCATTCTCCTCAACCAAATGTGATAGGATTGAGCCTTCAGGGAGTTCCACATAGAAGCAGCTAAGATTCTTATCAAACTGTGTCCTCAACCATTTTCTCCCCTCAGAATTATTGTTGACTGCAGGAGAAACATCAGCATAAAGATAAAAGGAAAATAAAGGGCCCATGCATTTGAGGAGTAGAATTGAAACCATATTCAGGATTCCTTACAGTCGGACAGAACGCATATGCATTGCATAGCCCATGAATATAAGAATTTGGAAGAAAACATTATCAACATATATGCACCACACATACTCAAAGTAATACACTTACATTTTTTGGTAACAAATTCAAAACCCAACTTTTCAGCTGCCAAATTAAAAATGTCTTTAAGAGCAGCTGCTTTGGATGATGGAACAGGAACAGCCTACACAAAGGGAACAGAAGATACGATTAGATACAGTTCACCAGTTCTAACACACTGTGACATGTAACTCCATGATGACATTCATAAGAGAAATCTCTTTTACCTGAAGGTTGGCATGAGTGCCACGTTTTGATATCCACTCAAAGAACACAGCTTCCTTTCCCTGGTTTTTATAATACATCTTGACACTGTTCTGGAATTTTCCAAGCTCAATTTCACCATCTGCTGATAAACAAAGCGTATTTGGCAAATGCTCAACTGGAATTAACAGGACATGATCTTGGACAAGTGGGCCTTTTGCTAGCGCACAATAAAAATTCTCTCCTATGCTAGTCACCAGATGTATCTCCACATTTGGGCTAGACAAACAAAACCAGCACTCTTTCAACCTGTACTCAGTTGCAAAATTGATAATTACTATAGTGGTTTATATATTTTATAATAAGGATGAAATGGAAACACTCTTCATGTAGGTGCTGTTATGCTGTCTAATCAATTTTTTGTGCTAACCAAAGTAACGACAATATGAAGTGGACTATCTACAAAGAAACTAGGGGGAGAAAAAGATAAAGGCAACAAACTACCAACCTGATAGCATTATTATTGCCAGATCCAGGTCTCTTACGAGAGTAACTCTCACCTTCATCCTGTAAACTGTGCTTAAAGTTGCAATCTGGACCTTTTTCACATTTTCCTTTGATTATAAAATCAAGGCAAACACCTCTCAAAAATTGCTCCCTTGCATCTACGTCATGCTGAAAGTTGCACTTTTCTCCCCGTGGACAGCTCCCAGAAGATATAAATTTAAAACACACCTTATTACCATCTCCATTTCCATGCTTTTGCCGTTTGTTCGAGACATCATATCTCCAGTATTGTGAATCAGGAGCATTATCACCAGCCCTCTTTGTGGCTTCTTTAGGACGATCTACTTGGTCTGCTAATGCATATGGTGATAAGGTAGTATTTGGTGGCTTTGTGCTGATCTCAGCAGCTGACATAGCAGATGATGGAGTTGGAGAAAGTGCATGAAGAAATTTCTGAGGAGCAGATGCAGGAATCAACAGTCACAGAATGCTTAAAAGCTAAATCTAGCAGTCGCTGACACTTTAAATTCCTCACAAGATAGCATAAAGGAACCCAAAATCATGATAGCATAAAGGAAATAGTTTGATTATGCAGAAATTCTTCAAGACCAACAAGTCCAAATAAATAGTAGTGCTGGATCTTCTTTCCTTTTTCTCTTTTCTCTGGAGTGTTCCTTGCAGGGATGTATGAACTCTCCCAAAAGGAGAAAAGAGCTAAGCAGAGCACAGGATATCGTACCAGGGCAGGCAATAATCAAGTAACAGACAAGAAATGACACTCTCATTTTAGGACAAGATCCAGTCAAATGTACTAGTAATTTAACTGTTCCTGGCAATATATATACTGATATTCTGGACATGGCATCATGTCAATGCAGGTTAATGCTTCATTAATAGAGCTTTACAGCTAACATTCTCAGCTGAATACAATCAATATTTCAATATATAGTGAGGAGATATTTTCAAATCTAAAAATAAAGATGTGTTGATATGAGATGGTCAGACCTGCTTCTCTTTATTCCCAACAGAAGCAAGACCCAAGAACCGAGTTACATGCACAGCATCAACATTCGAATAAGGTTCACGAGCATAAAATGCACCCTTAGTACCTGCAATGTGATAGCTAACAGGGAGAACGACCATTAGCAAAAGAAACTAACTTTTGAGTAACTGCAAATGCAATAAAGAAACAAAATTTTAATTGGGTTTTAAATTATGTATTCTCACATTTATGATGCCATAGCCTTTCACCAGAAAACTTCTATGAACAAGGCCACATCAAAATTTATCAGTGGATTGACACACAACTGTTGATTTTCCAGCCAAAAGAAAATCTTCAAATATATAAACATAAACTTTTACGCTGATAACTAGCAAAATGCTCTCTAAAATCCACATTCTTCCCACATAACAAATCTTCGCACTTGACATTGAACCATTACTCCATATTCCATAGTTTATTTCATGAAAATGAAATTCAATTCCCAACATATGAGAAAAAACCTAACTCGGAATATATACACTACAACCTTCATCTGACCATGAAAATTGTTGCTTTGAAAGGTTAAAGTAGTACGGACCTGAGATATTCTAATTGAGAGGAGATAAAGATGAATTACAAGCATGCTGTCTTTTATGGATCAGGATGTCTAAGATGTCTAAGATAGACTTACTTGTGATGGTAAAACTGTGAGTCTTGTACAACACAGAAGCTAGAAACATGGAAAAAAGCATAATATCAAAATATACCTTTCATTTGTAACATCTCCCTGAGAGTAAGGCCTTCGACCATGCAGATTATAGGTAAAGGAAAGGATCATGTATCTGACCAAATCACTTTGCCATTAACATTTAGTTGGCTAAGTTATTGTAACTTGAAGTCTTTGTGAGAACAGAATCAACCATTAAACACTAATTTGAACAAGAATCATAAATTAATATTATCACGATTATGGCAACGTAACAGCATCCAAGACAGGGAACCATAAAAACAGCCTATTGACAATTGGATGCACTAAGTAATGCAAAAGTCTTCAAACATCACGTACCGTGGTTTGATCTCTGCGACTAATTGGGATACAGTGGAATCACTACCAGAAGAATCCGACATTCCTGAAGGAATATCCGATACAGCAGCTCTATTTGTGACACCACTCGGCCATTCATTAGTGAAAATTAATTAAGGAAGTCAAAAGATACAACCACCAAAACCAATACAAATGAACACATAAAAGGTTTCCATGCCTAGAAAAGCAAAGGATATCTTAAAAACAAGTCCACTATTCCAGGTTCCTCCGCAAATGCTCGCAACGCGTCAATGTCATCTTCACTATATGATCCAAACTGTTGACCACTAGACAACTGCCTACCAGATAAGTAAGCAACAGACAAACCTAAATATAAGCACAACAAATCAGGTATGGCAGAAATTTTTCAGATTCACTTCCTTTATTAATATCGCCTACTTTCTCAGTAACCAGACAGAAAATACTTCATAAAAGTTGAAAAAAAATACCATGGAGAGTGAACTTGCCGCTGCCTTTCAACCAAAACAAATTGTCGCAAATCTTGAAACCGTCCATTTTAAATCCTTGGTTGGCAGAGTTCTTCGAAGCGGCCGATAAAACCTTGGCCGCACCGACGCCGTAATCGCCGATAAAGTAAGTTGGGAGCGGAATTTGGGCCCGGCCTTCGACGTAATCCATTAATTCATCAAGTCGGTCCGTTTCGTCCGGAAAGAACTGGCCCACGCAAAAAAGAGAATCGAAAGGACCCGCTGATTTGTTCACCTGAAACATATAATCATTTCTTCAGCTCAGCGCAGTATAAAAGTAAAGAATAGAACCCTAGCGAAAACATGGAGGAAAAAAAAAAAGAGAAAATGAGAGCAAATTACTGAGTTGACTCGCTTGAAGAGCTGGTTGAGACGGCCTAAAACGTCGCCACATAGTAGTATTCGTGGAGGAGCCATGAGAGAGAGAGAGAGACCGTTGAAAGTGAAAAGCAGGACTGATGCTCTGAAGGTTAAAGGCGGAGGGCGGGGAGAGAAGTTGGACACGCTTGGGCTAATGAGGACAGACTCAAATGGGCCGAGTCCTCTGGCCCATGTTTGAAATATATGGACCAGGCTCACATGGGCCGATCCTTAGTTCTTATCTAACCTGTGTTTATTTTAACATTCAGACTGATGTGGGCCCATCCTTCAACTTTGAGTTGATTTTGACTTTACATTTCAAAAAATAGCAAACAGTATATGTTGGTTACGTAAGGGATCTTAAAATATATAAAAGTAGTTTAAATTCAATATGAGAGAAGAAAAAAAAAAGGGAAAATTTGGAAAAAAAATGGACTTTTTTTTTTTGACATTGAGTCATGAGATTGAATTATTTGTTTAGTATTTTTTTTATTATTTTTTCTCTTCATATTTAATTTTCTTACTAATTACATTTATAATTTTCTCTTCATATTACTAACCAGTCGACATAAAAAGTCGGTTCCAAGTGAAAGCAACTGTACATTGTTGCTGCATTAAATCGTACCATGCCATGGCCAATGGCCAATGGGTCTAAGATGCTCCATCTGATTTATCACTTAAAAACTCTATCAATCATTTTTCAAGCATCCATGATCCTAACTTTCGAATAAAAAACAAAAAATATCTCAAGACAGGAATTTGATCACAGCGAACAAAGTGACAATAATATTCCATGTTCTAATTCCTCCATAAAACTTAAAATTAATGTATATTTAATTTGATGTTGTTACCTCATCACCGTTGCGTCAGATCTTACATCACCTTTTATTTTATGTTGCGTCAGATCTTACATTACCTACTCTATAATAAATTGACAATGTTCACACTGCTGAAATGGGAACACAAGGTGTCAAGAAACATGGGCGAAGTTATTGCATTTTTTAAAAAGGTCAAACAAAAAAAGACATCACTTAGAACAAAATTTAGATATAATTTAATTATCATATATTTAAAAATTAAATAAAATTTAAAAGATAATAAACATATAATAAAATATACGTTAATAGTAATGATGTTTCATTTATATATATAATTAAATGAAATTATAAAATGAGTCTCTTTTACTTTTGTGAACAAGAATATAAGAGAAAATAATTTTTCAAACTTTGAATTACCTAGTTACTTTGTGTGTCTTAACTTTTTTTTTGTTTTCTATTTACCTATTAAATTGTTAATTAACATATTGAATTATTCGATTGAATTATTAAAATATAATATATTATGATGGATTATTAGATTAGACTATTAAAATATAATATCTTATGATAGGTGCAAATTTATATTAAAATTTAATGAGTTTAGATTAGTAGACTTATTTTTATTTTTTTGTAAATTTGATAAGTTTAATATATTAGTTTAGAATTTATTTATTAGGCTTAACTAGCAATATGCTAATCATAACGACTTTAATTTTATAAAACAGTTTGAAAACTAAAATTAACTATTAAATAAAAAATTATTTTAAGAGTCATTAAAAATAAATAAAAAAATATTAAAAAGATAATTATTTTATTTTATCAATTTATATGTATATCTTTATTACTTAAAGTTTACAACATACATATTAAGATACGTTGATTATTTTGAATAAAAAATAATATATTAAAAATTTATAAATATTTAAAATATATAAATAAATAAAAATATAAATATAAATTAAAAAATAAAAAATTAAAATTAAGTTAAGTATATGAAATTATTTTATTATTTTTATTTATATTAATTATTAAATAAAAATTTATTTGAAGGGGTTATTAAAAAAATTTAAAAAATTTATTTAGTCCCAAAAATGTTTTAAAATTTTAAGGGGTCACGGGCCCCTCATTCCATAAGAAGGCTCCACCCCTGCCGAGAAGACCGTTGAAAAGCCAAGATCCAAGCAGTGTGATCCTCGGATGATCGGTAAATGTATTTATAAGGGAAAAAAAAAACAAGAAAGCTGCCCAGTCAGACTCTTCAAAATCTTTTTGACTGGTAAAGGATTTTAAACTTCTCGTCTCTTTTCTGTGAATTTGTAATTGTAGGTCTTTGATTTGTTAATAAAATAATATTTGAAAAACTTAAATTACTTTAAAACTTTTAAATAAATTTTTATAATTAATAATTAGTTTATTAAAAATATTTTTTATAATTTTATATTAAATAACGTTAACACAATACATTAACATTTTATAAATAATGATAATATAATATATTAATTAAATATAATAATATAATTATATAATATTTTTTATTTTTATATATTAATTTTATATAAATATAAAATGATTAATGATATTATTAATAATAATTAATTAACTATTATTAATAAAAAAATTAAATTATAATAAAAAATTTATTTAATTTTTTAAAAATAATTTAAGAATTAAAATATTATATCCTTGTTAATTATTAACAATGAAAATGAAAAAGAGGCAAGTCGAATGCCCAACATTCACGATTTGCACGCGATAAATGTTTGCCGCTAGTTATCGCGTCGGGGAATTTACTCGTTGCAGCGTTTTACATGGTCGGTGCCTGGCGGGTGATGGGGTATCCCTCTCATAGAAGCCATTGCCAAACGATTAACCCTGAACTTTAACAAGTCTGCTGATCCGAGTTATTAGCACTTACTTTAACCCTGTAATTCCCTGCTCAGATTCTATATACTTGGAAGCCATTTGGTATCTCATACTACTACTAGTACTAGCTAATCCTAAAATAGCACGTGCCACACTTAAAACTTTCAAATCAGAAATCAACCTTTTAAATTAATGTATACAATATTAGGTTAGTGTAATAAAACGTCAATCCAAGTCATCACATCATGGATTAACAAATAACAACACTCGAATCAAACATTTCATTAGCTTTAGAAAGAAAAAGGAGAGACGTCAAGTGACATATACTATATACTAAAATATTCAAGGGAGGGGTTATCAAGAATCAACATCTCATGCTTACATGACTTCAAAATAAGGTTCCAATTTAATGAGGGTGCCGATGACATGTACATGGACCAGAACACTTGAGTCAGGCCAAGTCTCTGTCAAGTGCAGGACGACTCCTCGATGCCTGGTATATGAGAAAATGTTCAGATGCATCATCACGATATCTCCTATTCAAACTTATTTATTTACCGTACGATATATCGAACCCTTGTACCTATCCATGTTGGTACTTCAGAAAATTCCAAAAACACCACTTCAATATTTTAATTATGACGTGAGAACACAATGCAAATAATTTACTTGAAAATATCTATAGGAGCTATTGTCCTTTTTATTTATTTACATCTGTTTATTATCAGCACATGCCATGCTATATTAATTCCTGCCAGCGAACAGAAATTTAAGATGTAGTACTTGGTACGCATTTCTAATAAGCGAAATTTTTTTTCAAAAGTCTCCAGCCGAGAAAACTACAAGCAGACAAATTTTTAATGAATATGGCCGCAATTTATGGAAAGACTGGTAAGCTCTTTGATCCAAAAGTAACTCTTTTTTTTTTTTTCAATCTAATGAGAAAAAAAGACAAACGTTAAATTAGGGTTCGGTGGTGACTTTTTATTAGAGAGAATTTCGGTAAGACTTTTTAAATTAAGTTCATGAGTTTTTATTTAAAAAATGATTAAAAATAAAATTTAAAATAAATTAATAAAACTTGATAAGAAAATTAATAATTAAATTTAAATATTTAATTAATCTATATAAGAAAATGTTTTAATTTATCGATTAGAATTTTAAATTTAATTGATTTTAAACGAAACCTCACCCTTCTTTAGTGGATTGATTGGGAAATTAATTTTACACCTCATTGCTAGGAATCAACGTGAATCCTGCACTAGAGTTAGATCATTCTGTGATGTTCAGCATTTATATTGATAGTTTGGAGACAGTATGGTTCTCTCTGTCATGTAGAGCAGCTCTCCACACCCCAACTAAATTTTTTGCTCTTCGGTAGGTAGCAGTAATTTAAACTCAGTAGGTAGTAGTAATTTAAATATATGGAAGAAATTATGACAAATAATTTTTTTGATAAGGGTATTTGAAAAATAATTATTAAAATAATTTTTTTGATAAGGGTATTTGAAAAATAATTATTAAAATAAATTTAATTATTTTTAGTTGTATTTAATCATGATTTGATAAAAATACTTTTAAAATTATTTTAAATAAATTAAATCATTCATTATAATCTTTCATCATTTGTGCTTCTGATTTTTTTCTCTCATCATCCAATTTTCTATAATTTTATCGATTTTTCTCTTCAGCATTCATCTACTGTGCTTTATATTTCTTTCTCCCATGCATTTAGGTTTTTATTTTTTGTATTTTCAATACACTAAGCCATGGTTTTATTTGAAGAATTTGGTTTTCAAATATTTTGGATAAAACTAAAATGGTAGAAATAATTACAAATGTTTGAAATAGTTTTTAATTATATCAAATAGGAAGCTAGATACCAATAAACTGAAGAATTTAAAATTTATAATCTAGATTTTTAAAAGAATTTTTTTATGATTTTTAGTCACAATAGGTGTTTTAGATAAGAAAATTTGTATTTTGATTTATGAAAATATATTAGAAATATTTTAATCAATGCTAAATTATTAAAAAAATAAAAAAAATTAAGAGATTTGAGAATATTTGAAGGTTTTTTCGTAAGTATAATGAAATGTTTTTGAATATGAAATGTAACAACAATATTTTTTCAATATGACATGTAATAATAATTTTTTTTTTTCAATATGGTATGTAACAATATTTTTTAATCATGACGTGTAATATGTTTTTATACATAATATGTAATAATAATATTTTTATTTAATATAACGTGTAATAACTTAACCATAACGTGTAATATATTTTTATACATAACGTATAACAATAATATTTTTTTTTAACATAACGTATAATAATCTAATTATGGTGTGTCACATTTTTTATACGTATAACAATCTAACCATAATATATAATATATTTTTATATAAAAAATATAATATCATTATATATAATTTTATTTAAAATAATTTTATTTAATTTGATTAAAATAATTAAAATTATAAAAAAATATTTTAAAAATATCTAATCTTTAAAAGATACTCTTCGTGTATACATATTTAACATACATGGAGGATAAGCAATGGGAACTTCACATTCCCGGAAAAGACTTTTCCATTATTTTACCCAAAAAATAAAGGAAAAAAAAAAACATTTCCATTTCGCTTTCCTCGAAGAGAAAATTGAACAAAAGAAAACCACGTGTGCCATGTTGATACGATAGGTTATCTATTTCTAGTTGAAAAAATAGGAGAAAGAAAAAACAAAGCACGGTATTGTAAGCTCTAAAAAGTTCACAGCGACAATTTAAGCTTGTGCTCCCAGGAGTTCTACTTCCATTCTCACCATCCGCGGAAACACAACACACAAACAGTAAGGAAGTTCAATTCTTTCTTTCTCTTCCTTTCTTTGTCTTTCTGGCAGTACCTTCCTTTGCTCTTCTTCTGATATGTCGGCTTTCATAGCAAGCTGGTTGACACCAACTTCTCTTTTCCTCCTCCTCAACATCATGATCGGCACCATCTTCCTTATCTCCCGTCTCTCCCCTCCCAAAAGGCCACATCACCAGCAATTTGGAGACGGCGACTATAACTCAGCCCCGCAGCCACTCGAGCGAGCTCCGTCGCTCCTCGACCGAGTCAGGTCGATTAACTTCTCAACGTACAAATTTCCTCTTCCAAATTACCAAGACATAGATCATTCATCTCCCACCTGCAACCTAGCTGCCCATCCGCTCGAGCGAGCCCCTTCAATTCTCGAACGAGTCAAGTCCATCAACTTCTTCCTTTACAAATATTCTCCTCAAGATCCAGACAGGGAGTATATTCAGCCAACGGAACACGAACACATTAACCCGCAACCCCTCAGCCGAGCACCGTCTCTCTTAGAGCGAGTCAAGTCGATAGATTTCGCCTCTCTTTACAGATCGGACTCCTTTAAAGCAAACCCAGAAAAGGAACTCCCTGCAACTGAAGAACCCGATTCGGACACGGATACGAGTCCAGTTCGTGGTCAAGTAACAAGAAGCAAATCGGAGTCCAAGGTAAAACAAAGAAGATTTCCAGAGAAGTTGAAGAAATCAGAAAGTGAGAATCCAAGACTCAAGGCGGAAAAGAGGGAGGAGGAGGAGGAGGAGGAGGAAGAAGAAGAAGAAGCGGAGAGAAGACGGACTGCGACTGCTAGGATCGAGAAAACGGTATCGTTTGGAGATGATGATCAAGGTGTCGATGCAAAAGCTGATGATTTCATCAACAAGTTCAAGCAGCAACTTAAGCTGCAGAGGTTGGATTCTCTCTTGCGTTACAGGGATATGCTTAAGGGCAAGTAATGTAAGAATTCCCTTTGTTCTTATTAAGGTTTTAAAATTAACATAGGATTCCGTGTGGCTTTACGGTCGCTTGTTCCCTCTGTTTAATTAGTGCAAGGCGGGGAGCTGATTTTCATAATGTACGAGGGGTGTTTTCGTAATTTACGCACCTTAAACGTTTAGTTTATGGTCCAGTTTACTCCGACCGGTGAGCGGCAAGTGAACAGGGGGAAGAAGAGCTGAGCAGTGAGCAAAAAGAATGAAATTCAAATGACCGAAATTGGCCCTCTGGTTTCGAGTAAATTTGGTCGGCAAAATGATGGGGTTTTCTGTCATTGAAGGAGCCCCCCTTCATTACTGTTTTATAAAAGTAACTTCAATTAGTGGTTTGCATGTGAAGAGTCTGTAGCTTTAATGAACTGTTTTAAGTCATTTTTATCAGGGGAGTGAGGTTCAAATACTTTTGCATGGTCAGTAGACGGCTAGATTGTTATATTCAAAGAGTCAAACCGTCCATGTCTACGAAATTGGGTAATGTTTATAAATTGCTGTAGGGGAAGGAGCCTCGTGCCCTGGGGTCAAGCCATGTTATGGCAGTGATTATGCAAATTTTCCAGGATTATTTTGCAGCCGAACTTCCTTAAAATTGTAGGATGTTTTCCATCTCCCTCGCATCGAAGGCAACCTAAGCTTAGCGAAGAACTTGACAATCATAGACAAGGTTATAGACAATGACATTGTACAAATATGATAATTAAGAAACCTGATCAGCACAGTTTCCGCACACTTTTTGTTGTCGATATCTTTTATCTACAATGCCAGAATCAAGGTTTTAAAACGGAATTAAGATTTTAAATTTGAAAAGACTTTTAATATTTAAAGACATAAAATTATACAGTTTTTAAAAAATATACATAAAATTTTAAAATAAAATAAAATAATATAATATATATAGAAATTTTGAAATTTTAAGGGAGCGGTGGGCCTTAGTCCCCTCCGCATCTGCTAACGTGGGCGTTAGTTATAGGGTTTTGGTAACTTTGATATGTTCGATTTCGTCAATGGACCTTGGCGTCAACAAGATAATGATACTCCCTTCATTTGCTTAATCAGCAAACAAAACGGGATCATTCCTATCACCTTCTTTTCTGTATCCTCACCCAAGCCAGGACAAGAACAGAGTAGGAACGGGAATCGTTGAAACATGGAGTTGCCCGTCTCACCAGCTTTCATACTCGTCAACACGGTAATCATGAAGATATAACCATATCTCATTAGGAAGTTTTCGGGACATTTCTTCGGTGGATTAAATATGTGTTGACTATGAAGTCAATAATCACGTTTTATCACTGTTAGGTTTTGTATTATAATTATAATTGACGTCTGCAGAGGAACTTTCAGAGCAAGCGTATTCGTAATTAAATTCTAATTAACTAGGAAAATGTAATTATCTCACCTTTAATTTGTTTAAGGAAAAGTTTCTTCTTTTATGCTAAAAGACACAGATAGGTCGCTTTACAAAGCTACATAACTTCTGAGTAAGCTGCTGTTAGAATTTTCGCTTTTCAAGCAGCAGTACTATAAAGGTGAAACTGAGTCTTTTTGAATAATGTAATGAGATTTGAAGTCACTCTCGAAAGCAAACTCAAAATGCGATCCCACAACGTGCAAGAATCTTCTTTATGTTACTTTTGGACGGGAAAGAGAGAGGTGGGATCGTTGATGAATTCTTCGAAACTCCGACGCATATAAATATTTATTAGTATTTGTAAAATGATAAGAGGGCCCAAGTAGGATTGTCGCGTAGGCCCTGAGAGGGCAGTGTCTCGGTGGGTCTAGTTGGGTTTCATGCTAATTGCTAGTCTCACGCAATAGCAGTCTCTGGTACAGTTGGTCTGATAGATAATATAACGGCTCATAGAGTTTTTGATTACTAATTATGTTATTTCCGTTGTTTCGGTCAATTTTTCAAAAGTTTAGCCCATAGGTTCTCTACAGATACTTTGCAAAAGCTCATCATCAATCTATTTGCTAGTTAAGGACACCAATTAGAGGGGAGAAAAACAAACAAGGGAAAGGAAATATAGTATATATATAATTGCTAGCACACTGCATACAGATTAAAGTAAAAGCATAACCAGCCACCTGTATGTGCTAAGAATTTAATTAGGTGGTTATCGGGGGAGGCTAATCAGATTTATCTTGAGACATAACCAAAAAAAATATCCTCAATCTTTAATCACTTTCCATAAAGATATCATCAGCTTCATTGTCCTTTGCTTCCTCATCAGGCTTGACAGGCTGCTTTCCTTTGGAGTCAGATGGAACACTGCGCCTCCAAATATATACAAAGAATGTGTCAAATTGAGACTTGGTTAATGTTGAATTGATACTTGGTATAGATATGCAATAAGCTTTATCATTAATGCCACATATAAAAATATGTATAGTCATAAGTAGGCCTGTAGAAGAATTCAGATCCACGGTTTGATCAGTTGGATGAGTATATATGAAACAACCTGTTGATGATTGCATCTGCTTCCAAATTCACCCAGAGGGGATTGTCTCCTTCATTAAATATTTTGGCAACCTATAAATCACAAAGAAAGATGGTAAAAGCCTTTTATATTTTTGCTAACCTCTATTGGAGATGTTAAATATAAAGAGAAAATGAGGGAGAATGGGAGAAAGGAGATATTAGATTAGAATCATAAATATCTTACAAGGTGGTCAATTTCAGGCTGCGATGGCTGTGGTGTTGAAGACAAGCTTGCCTTGAAGACAGCTAGCTGTTGGTTCACAGCAGCGAGCTCGGATTCATAAATTTCCAGGAGCCTGTGGAGGTTCCGAATGATGCCTAGACAGCCATGCGCAGGGTGATCCAATCTCGCATTGCCCTCCATCAGTATCGACTCTGCAGCTGCTTGTCTTTGATCGGGTCGGACCATACTCATGATTTTTACAATGTTGCTTAACCCAAAGTGCTTCAAAGCATTTTTGAACTCATGATATTTGCTTGCTGGGAAGTAGGGTGCCAACTCGCAGCTCTGGTGGCACCTTCTTCTATGATGCCTGCAAGCAGCACAAGCAGGGGAATTTCCCCCACGACCCTCTCCATTCATATTTGCACTTTAGAATTTGAAGAGAATAGAAGTCAAAACTTCTTGATACATCAAGACAATTGTCCGAGTGTTTATATATATATTTTGTAAGACTAGATGTTAAATTTGATTTACCATTTTATTATTGAAGGATCAGATACCAGATTATGAAAATCTAATTTTTATAAACTTACCTTTCATAGTTTCAATTACCTAATATGTCTAATTCTCTTTTCATTGGTTCAAACTCTACTCTTTTCATGGAAAAATGTCACTATAGATAACTCTATAAAAGTCAAAGTTGAGTTAATGTAAAATATTTACCAAATCACTGTTATAATCCAAAATTTCAAATCAAAATATTTTAAGAAGAACTGTAATAAGAAATTGATGGAGGTGAATAAGACCAAACATTGCCATATTTGTAAAAAAAAAAAAAAGTTACTCTTAGATGATAAAATTATAACTGCTGTTATTTTTTTTATTATCAATTTTACTCCTAGATTGATAAATATGTTAAAATGACAATCAACCGTGCACATGCAATATTAGAAAGCGGATGGTGGGTATATGCCGCAAAACATACTTTAGTGTGTACAAGTGTCCCTTCCGAGAGAGAAGCGAGGGAGTGATTGAATCATCGAGGCGGCGGTGGTCTAATGGCGGAGAAACCCCAACCGATCGTCGTACAATACTGTCAAGTCTGCGGATTGCCCGCCGAGTATTGCGAATTCGGATCCGAATTCGATAAATGCAAACCCTGGTTGATCCAAAACGCACCCGACCTTTACCCGGATCTCCTTCAAGGTAAACGCCCTTTAATCACCGCCGTTAAAACCAATCATTTTGTTTTTTATATCTTAATTTTTTATTCAAAATTTTATGTGCAGCAGCGAATGCTAAAGAAGCGGATAAAGTTGCTGATCAGTTACAATCCACTGGCATCTCTTCCGCTGCTGCTGGTAAATTTTATTTGTTCTTCTCTTTTACATACTTCAATTTCTATCTCTTTTTTTTTTTTCAATTTTGAATATCGGATTTGATTTGAAATTTGATTTTGCTGTTTGTTGTTGGTTTAATCTTATTTTTGTAAATCACATTCCCAAAATTCTTGGAAAAAGAAAAAGATTTGCATGTAGTAAATCCATTCTATAATCTGTCAGTTTTATCTGAGTTGATTGTGCCTGTGAGTTGGTAGTTTATCGTTCTGAACTAAACGGTTGAGTTTATTAGTGTAGTAATGTACTATATTTGATAGTGGTGTTCGGCCTCAGAACCTGGAAGATGGAGGTGACGCTGTCATGATATGGTACTAGAGCTAGATGAAGGGCAATAATTTAAGTTGGCTTTATCGTTGTGGTGGAATAATGAACTTGGTTCAATCTGCTTTGATCTCTTCAAAAATCTAAAGCTGTTTATTATTATTATTATTATTATTATAGATGATTGCATCTGAATGTAGAGGTAGGCAAATTAGAATAACAAGATGCTTAAGTTGTTAGCTTTATCAGTTCAACATTTAGCACAAAGTAATTGTAAATGGGGGATTCCAGAAAAAAATCTAAAATGGTTCTTATGGTCACTTGAAAAAGTCAGGGAGCAAGGGAAACTGGGAAAGTTAAAATTTCCCATCTCTGCTGTAGCCTATTGGCATGGCTGGTGCCTACCAAGCTGTCTTGATAATTTTGGTGCGATAGAAGCAGAGTTTCGAATTAATAACTGATCTAATGTCTCTTTGTTTTCATTTACCCTGAACAAGAAAGAAAGAGTGGGGTCGAATATTATATTTTCCTACATTTTCTGGAATAGTTTACAAGTGTACCTGCTCTTTGAGGTCAGCTCTCCAGGAAAAAAGAATAGTTTTCTGTGATTTAAAAATCTCATAATTAGAGGGCATGTTGCTGTAAATATTGGAGTACAAATTTGAGAATGTTTATGAGTCTTGTTACTAGGTATTGATTGTTGATGAGAAAGATATCAACATTTCAAGGATTGAAGAAATCACTTCCTAAGAAGAATACCTAACTGATAATAGCAAATAAACCTGTTAAACTTTATAAAAAAATTTATGGATTTCATTTCACTGACTAAGCAATCTTTTGCAAAAATTACTAAATAATTTAACTGTACTCCAAATTGTGATTGATAGTAAGAGACTAATAGTTGGAGAGAAGTTTTCAGAAAAAAGGGGCTGGTGTAGTAAAGAATAGATAAAAATTTCCTTGAAAATCTTTTTTGGTGTTAGTTGAACTGAGTGAAATAGGTTAGTTATGAGAGTAAAGGGATGCCGCTTCATGAGCTAAGAGCTTGTTTGAACTAGCCTAGCATGTTCAAACATGCTTATAAATGGCTAACCTTTATGTGCATAAATATGATCATGCCTCGTGTTAGATTGAACATTATATATATTGTCCAAAGTGCTTAAAATATCATCTGCAAATGAACATTTCTGAGGTAGATGTTTTTACTTTTATTATGAAGATTTACTATGGTCCTGGGAGTTAATTAATTTTCTCCATGCATAATCATGTGTTTTGTTTGTGCTGTATGTTTTTTAGTTTCATCAATTTTGTTACTTTCCATACTTAATATTTTTGCTTAAATTTCCGCTATGATGCATTCTTCACTCCTCTTTTTCTCACTTGGGCTGCAGCTGGTAGTTCAGAACCTAAGCAAGAGGAAGTTAAACGTCTTCCGGGGGGGAAGATTAAAAAGAAAGTACAATCTCAAACTCTTCAATGCATGCAAACATCACTCACATGGAATGAATCATCTAACATTAACTATACATGCCAATTTAGTTTAATAGAATTGAAATTTGTATTGTCTTATTGTGTAGGAGAAGCAAGAACTTGTCATTGAAAAGGTTGTGCGTAATAAGCGAAAGTGTATCACCACTGTAAAAGGCCTGGATCTTTTCGGTGAGCACATGCTAGTTCTTGTTTTCTAAAGTGTAAATTCATTTCCAGATTCCCATCTCATTATCATCCTTAACTCGGTTCAGGTGTAAAACTAAGTGATGCTTCAAAGAAACTTGGGAAGAAGTTTGCTACAGGAGCTTCTGTTGTAAAGGTGCATTACTTTGAGAAAAATATCTATTAATCTATTCTGATGTAATATCCCATCATGCCTTACCGTTTTTCAACTAATTTGTTTCAGGGGCCAACTGACAAGGAACAGATTGACGTCCAAGGAGATATATCATATGACATTGTGGAATTCATCACAGACACATGGCCAGATGTAATACTCTTATCATTCTCTGTTCTTTTTGATGTTTTATGTTGGGTTCGAATGTGTCTTCATTTCTTTTATCTTTCTCTATAAGGCAGGCTGTTCCTCTCTATACTAAGAAGTTGAGCCAAACTGGAGAAAGCGTGCATCCCTCCTTATATCAAAAAAGCATTCTATCTCTCTTTATATCAAATCAAATTGTGTCCAATAACGCACGCTATCTCCCTTATAGCAGTATTTTCGGCCAAAATTAGGTTAATGTGTCAGCTTAATTGGTCAAAGTAAACTATGTTAGAGAACTTTTACTTCCCCTTCCATTTTGGCACCAAGTAAACATGTCTCCAAGAACAAAAACTGTTGAAAAGTTAATCGCAGTGAAACGTTGCATTTGGATAACATGCCATGTTTATTTTCGCATTGCTTACTGCTGTTCTCAATAATTGTTCATTATACATGTAAACCTGCTAAAGCCTCTCTTTCTGTTGAATTCTGTTGAAACTATTTTGGATGTGGTCATTTTGACTGGTAAAAAAAAAAAAAAACAGAAAGAACTACACTTCGTTTGTTATTTATAATTTTTTTTCTTGTTTTTACAACTTAATAGCATGGAAAGAGGAAATAGCATTGTGAAGTCCTCCAAAACCTTGATTTAACAACTTCTCTTGTTGAGTAACAATGAATGTTAAAACCTATCATTTTCTGATGAAGACTTGCTGAGGGCTTAAAGGCTTAAAGGTTTCATGCATTTATACTTTGTGGAATTTTGTGCTAAGATAAATAGGTTGTGAATACTTTTGAAATTGCCATGTCTCAATAAGAACTGGTGTTTTTGAGTATTTCTTTAGCAATTACACATCTTTGTTTTCCCTTTTACTTTTATAAGTTTTCCAGGAAGGTTGAGATTATTCTTTTTTAATGATTCTGTATCGTTTGTTACATGTTTTGCATTGACTGCCCTGTTCAGGATAATTAAGCCTATTTACTTGTCCTACAGTTTTCTTCTAAAATATTATTGGACAAAATCGGGTTACAGTTATTAACCACTTTTTTTTTCCCTTTACATTAGGTCCCAGAAACTGCAATTTTCTTTATTGAGGATGGAAAAAAGGTTCCAGCTGCTTGACTTGAATGAAGGAAAATACATAATAGGCATTGCAGTATCATCTTTCCCCTTTGGATGGGACTCTGTGAGATGTATCATCCTGTCAAATTGAGAAGTGCTGCTTGACAAAATTCAACAGCCAGTGAGACTTTTCCCTCTTTCAGTCACCTGTTAGTCTTTTGCGAACATATTATAGTTTTCCAGTTGAAGTGAACATGTACGTGCATATAATCAATAGATGCAGTCTGTATAGTGGCAACATCAATGGTGTATGCTATATTTTGCATTCAGAGTAGAATTTCCTTAACAAGATGCTATTTTAATTTGTTGTGATGAACTTGCTTTTCCACAGTTTATTCTTCTCTCACTGTTTGCCTTTGATATTTTGGTTATGTTTGTGCCTCCTATGGAACATCAGTATCTTGTGTGTATGATAAAGAGTTTTCTGTACACAGTCTATCTTCTAGTTGAATTGACCTCTTAAAGCTAAATGCAATCAAGATTTGACACAAGTTGGAGACTCTGCAGTTATTTGTTGGTTTGATGGTTGAGGCGTGTTGCTATATGAACTATGATAATACATATAGGAATCTACAGTGTGCATGTCAATGTTATAGGAAGTGAGTTTTGATATATTGTGATTGAAAATTGATCATGGATCTGCATCAGTCAGTCATGAGAAGCACAGAAAACACTTTTCATGATATAATTTTATAACTAACGGGGAACATAGTAAGAAATGGTGCTCTCTGCATAAGCGGTGGACAAATACAAGTGGTGATGGATATTGTCAATATTCATGTGATGGTGGCATGGGTCAGTCATTCTGTATGTATGGCTAGGAAGATTTAATGGTGGTTGTGGTTGGGTTTTGTGCCATTGGTTGCTGCCTGGTGTAAATGTTATCCATTCGGTTTGTTTGGGATGAGCTCTAAGCTATGGTCTGTCACAATTAATAATTAATGGCTTCGGCGGATGAAGGTTAAAGGAAAATATGGAGGCTGAAAAAGACTTACAACACATTCAGTGCACCAGGCCATGTTTTTGCATTGCATGGATAACGTTGAGCATAGTGCTTAGGGAAAGTATGTTCATTGTAACTCTAACTTTGAGAGCTGTATTGACAATGTTATTGCTCCTGCGTTAGCGTTGGGGTTAGATGTTCCTAAAATAGTTGATCCAATAAACCTATGTAGCGAATCGGACTGACTCGCTTTCTTCATTAACTAGATGATGTGGAATCATGAGTGGTCGGCTACAATACCTAGAGGATTTTGACTTAGATATGGTGTAAATTGTTTACTTGATGATGATCTCATCTGGAATCTGACAGAGACTGCCCAAAGATGAACTATATACCAAAGATGAAAATTGTTCACTTTTTCCACTGGGCGACTTTTCATGATTCCCATATTGCTTGAGATTAAGACTCAGAAACTGACTCCTTGGTAAGGTTTCTGAGCAAATGAAATTTATCTCGGCAATTTATTTTGAAGCCTTGTAACGTTGCGATGGCTGAGAATGAAGATTACTTTCACCGAGAGTTTTCATAAATCTGGACTCCACGGTAAAAGAGAAGGAAAACAAAAGCTTATTGATTACAATAATGTGGGCAAGAATATTGGGGACCAAAGCTATCTGGAACAAGAGTGGGGCTAACAATCTCATCATGTGACAGTTGTGACTAATTTTTCAAATCTGATTCTGCTACCTCTTGTTTTGTTTTATTGCTTTTTGTTTTTGTGGATAATTCGCGTTGTGCAACTGATCTGAATGCATTAGAAGGTGAAGCTGATGTTTTGGGAGAATATTTAAAGTCAATGAGTCTAATCAGGGAGCTGATTTCGCCATTTTGGCCAGCTTTTAGCAACCTTATTATTACTGTCTTCCACCTTAGCTCCATCATCATCATCAGCATCTCCTAGTAGCATGGTCCAAGACCAGCCAACATTCTGTTTCACACTGTGTTTGTTACTAGTGTGAATACAACTTCGTCTTCTTTCCCATTCTCTCTTTCATCTGGAAATATGAAAATAACCTTAAAAGCATGTTTATGACAGCTCTCCTCGATTGAGTTCATGTTCACATTCTCAAAGTGCTTCCCAATAGCTGAACATTTTCAACACCACATGGTGTCCCACACAGATTAAGTTATTCCAGTTGTTCATTTTTGTCTCTATCATGGCATTTGATTTTATTTCTATATGTTCTACCTGTTGCAAATCACATTAAGAATCTTTTGAAATTATGTTATTGGCATTTCTCAGGCACCATTATGTTATTGGCATTTCTCAGGCACCATTATGTCAAGCATTAAGGGTTCAGCCTCATCCATTATCCCAAAAGCCAATGCTTCTAACATTTTTCTCTTCTATAAAAGATCAATTAATTTGGTCTGGATTCTTTTATTTAAAAGGCAAAACTAGATAGTTATGCTTTCAGGTATGCCTCTTTTCGTAGGCAGCCTTTTCTATACATACATATTACACAACCTTGTTAGAAATATTAGCATTACAAGCACCATTTTGTTCTCCTGGAAGTCCTTTTTGGCCTCTTCAAAGAAATTTATATTGGGGTGGTGAAATCTAGGTGGTATTTATGTTTAGTCTACGCCTGTATCAGGTGGGAAATTTGCCTGTTATCGTTATTGTTATTATTGTTGTTGTGTTGGAAAGGTTGGTGTTGTCAATCAAGTTTAGGACAGTCCTTGAATGAATTATTTGCCGGGTCGAATCCTAACATTTTCCTGCGAATCAGATTAGTTTGTTTGTTTGTATGATGCCAAAAGACAGCCTTGTCAGAGATTGTATATTGTATATCGTATCACATATAAGTATCAAAGTATCAGAAGCAGATTTTCTCTGTTGAATTCGAGAGTGAAACAGTAGAAATACTTCCTGGCAACTGGTTAATGTAATTATTTAAGAGGTTGTCATTACCCTTGCTTGATAATCTCCCCATATATAAGCACATGAGTAAAGATGCTGCATCAATACATAACCTACATACAGAATAGGAGCATATATAGGCTGCCACTTTTTCTTTTTATATTTGAAAGTAGAGAAGCAAATCATTTTCATTAGCTTCAAAAGCTTCTCTAGGCTAATTGGTCCCCTAGTAAACAATATGTGACTAAATGAGAATAATTGTCAGCTCACTAAGATTAAAAAAATTTCTCTTAAACATGCATGCTAAGCCTTTTTCTCTGCAGAAACTTTAGAAAATTACAATTTCCTTTTGGTTTTTAGGCCACACAAACCTAAAAGTAGGCAAGTGTCGGTGTCTTTCCATGGAAATTGGTGCCCTACGTGCGAACAACTCTTTTTGGAGATGGGTTATCCAATGGCGTTCCTGAGCCAGCTGGAGGAAGTGGTGAAGGGAACTAAATAATTGATTAGATACAATGATGGCTCCAGGCTGCTTGGCATTGGCTTTACCTTTCCCGTCATGACACCGGAGAAAATGGCCCAGGAAAGATGAGGGAAAATTCACTTGCTCGATCATAGAGACCACATTGGAATTGTAGTAAATGACCAACTAGTAGTTGAACCAGAACTAGCTAGTTAGCACACCACAATTTTTCTTTTTTTTGAAAGTTTGACTTGAATGATCCAGGAAGATGTTAGATGGGTTACTATTTTCACATGCTAGTGATCTGACAGAGACTGCCCAAAGATGAACTATGTACCCAGACCCAGTCAAATTCAAACTTGTTCAATTCCAGGATGGCAGCTTCCTCCGCAGTTGCTGTTTTGGTTTTGTTTATCTTTTTGTCGACATGGTCTTCTCTAGTAGAATATTATCTTTTGCTTACTAATTGGTTTAATTAGATAAACTATCTGAGCTGTGCCCCATTCTATGTTGTTTAGCGCTCTGACTGCTAGGATTTTACTCACCTGTACTTGCCTCCAAATCTTGTCAATTGGACGCTTCGCTCTTTTCATATCTTGGTGATCCTTGAATCATTCTACTAGGAAGGCTGGAACAATGCCTTAACAATGGTCAGTAAAGAACAAATTATTCAGTACAATGACACGCAATAGGTAAAATAAAATTATTCAATTCTGATTGGTGCCTTTCCTATCTCAATATTAAGGATGTAGTCCATGTATCACAATTTCAATGTATTAAATCTCGATACTTTCATTAAATGTCGAATTGAGAATAATTGTTTAATGGTGTGAATGTTCAACTTTTAAATTTGTTAATATTGTATTAATCTGGCCACGTTAATTTTTGTTACCAACTCACCATTGTATCTCAGAGAATTAGTTTGATTTTTTTACTGATTATAATTATAACAATTTATGATTAAAAAGAAAAACTTGATAAAAAGAATGTAGTCAGCAAGCGGAAAAAAAATTCTAAAACTTTTAGACACTTAGAATATGTAATTAAGTGGTAAAGAAGTTCATGTGTCATAGCACGTGACCTAGATAATGACTCATCACCTAATTAATTTTAGGATCCAATATTCACATTATTAAGAATTGTTCTCAATCTGATATTTAATGAACAAAATTGATAAAGATTAAATTGTTAAAATTGTGGTGTAAGGCGATCAAATTCTTAAAATTTATACCGTGAAAGGACCAATCTTCAATTTTGACCAAAATTAATCTGTTTCTCATTTCAGCTACAGAGCTTCTGCTAGAAAACATTGGAGTATCGGCGCATGATAGATTGAAGGAGTAGGAGGGCAGTGCTCAGAGTATCCAAGTACATAGTACTTTAGCTTAGATTCCAACTGGGGCTGGGACCCCGCGTTCCTGTACAGATTGAAAGAACTTGGTTGATTGAAAGGATCATGTGAGAGATCACCCAAGATCCAACAGCAGATATTCGGAAAGGAGATTGAAGTTTGCAGCACTGGGAAAAACTTGACCACAGAATGCAAGAACCAGAAGAGATTAATTCAATATAAAGGAGATGGTGCTTTTCTTGATTTAATTCTTCCATGCACATGGATACAGTTATTGTGACTAAGACCTGCTGCAGGATCAATGCTGGGGGCGCTCCAAAATATAAGTTCAAAATCTGGGGATCCGATCGTGCCTGCTGTAGGAGTTTAGGTAATAATGTCTCTTATTAAGAAGACTGCGTCTTGTTCAGTAGGTCGTTGGTAGAGTCTAGAAAGTAGAAATATTCCCTCTGTTATCTATGGCCTATGTGATCTTGATGTCGATGAGATGTTGGTGGTTCAAATGATATCAATGGGGATATATCGTGAACAGAATTGTTGATAAATTGATTATAAGCACTGAGATAACTCTAATTAAGCATGTGATTATTTAGTACAGGGTCAGATAGTAATGATTTACGGTACATATTCTGTACATCACTCTCTAGCTAGTTGTACAGCAATAAATCCTAAACATAGTTTTGAGATTGAAATGAGATAAGCCACTGTTAATTGACTGTAAATTATGACAACTCAGAGATGAACATAGAAAGCTCCAAGCTGTAAAGAAAATGCTGGTAATACTATGGAAGTACCTCTCGCCGTGTACTAACAAGAATAGGTAATGCCAATAGTGATAAAGGAACAGAAATTGAGAGATGAATGCGACTGCCTAAGAGCAGAAACTTTTTTTTTTCTCTTTTCTTTTCACTGGCTAGCTAGGAAGGAGAGAGAGAGAGAGAGAGGGCTATGGCTCCTATTCTAGGACGTATCTTCCATCTTGTCTGCTCGAAATCTCTCTGTAAAGCGCCCCACAGTACAGACAGAGCCAAAGCACGAGCTCATGTAAAAACTGAGCAAGTTGCACTCACAAGTGGGGTCGTTTTGTTAAGCTTTTTGATTACCTTCGGTGCCCAAAAAGTTCCTTCCCGCCACGGGCATCGACAGCAAACTTCCCGACCTAACGCCACCTCCCAGTCTTTGGATCGTGTAAAACACTCCCACACACACTTTCATCAATTAGGATCATCTGTTGTTTTCCTCAACTGTTTTCAATAAACCGTTTGATTAATCGATTCCTAGGGAATTTCTCCAACAAGATTGTAGCTAGGTGACAGGTTTTAAGTTCTGATCTGTTTGTTCTATTAGCAACCTTTTATGAGCAAATATCCCCATCAAGGCTGTAGTTACATACAGGATTATCACTGTGTGATGGTCCATAGTCGACTTTTCCATTCTGAAGAAGATAGTTTGACATTATATGGTGAAAGTTGGAATAAAAAACTATAGAAGACAAAAATGCTAACTTCAAAAGCCTTTCTCTCTCTCTCTCTCTCTCATCATTCAAAAGACTTGTAATTTTAGCCATCAACATATCCCTCACGTCTTCTTCTTTTCGATTAATGACTTTCTTTTCATGTTTTATATTTATACACACTACTACTACTACTCAGTGCGGATTAACAGTATACGTCAACTTTTTTGAGCTCCAAAGAGAGCAATTTATGCTGTTTAATTAAGAAACAACATAATTAAGCTAAGTGCTTTTATTATTTGTACTTTTCCCTTGCACGTATGGGTCGGAATGATTGCTGTACGTGAGCAATCACAGTGACATAGATTTTGGCGGTGTAAAGGGGGGAAGGAAAGAAAAGAAAGGGGTGGGGGAGTGAAGGGCTGATGGCTGATGGCTGATGGCTGATGGCTGATGGTGTTGTTTTGGACCACGTGATCTTGTGGGCTGGCTTCGATCCCCATAAAGATTTTCAGCATCTCACAATAGTCCCCGCAACCCCCCAACCCCCCCCTTCCTCTCGAGGTCCCTACCCATGTTTTTCTGCACGGGGCCTTTTGATTTGGCTCTCACTCATGACTCATGCTTGCTTGTCATTCGTCACGAAGACGCTCAATATCATCTTAGTTTCTCTCTCTCAATCTCCCCCTTTCTCTGTGTAGTATTCATCATGAAGAAGCATGACATTTGAAAACTCATTTGTGTGTTTTCCATATCGTATCTTTAAACAGCTCATCCAGAGAATCTGAATTCCCCCTTCCGCACTTTTGACAAAATTGTACTCCACCTTCATATATAGTTTTTGACTAAAATATAATTACACTATGTGTTAAAGCCAATGAATTTCTTCACGTTGTCATTTGCTAATGGCGGAAAAGAGATTCCGCATGAGACCAAGGCATAAGCTTGTCACATGTTTTGAATTTGATGGCATTGATCCTAACTTGGCAGTCTAAGTTCAAGCAACAGGATTCATATATTTTGGCAATACAAGATAGCACCAGTGGCAACCGAGATTGAAGTCATCGCTAGCTAGCTAGCTAGCTCTTTGGTCTTCTGAATGGTGCATATTGTTAATTCATGGTTTAGTTATAATCCCAAATTTCCAAGTTATGTGGTCGTGACCCACCTTTCTTCTTCTACTTTTCACTGTCTTCTGTTAGGTATAAAAACCTAACTGTCACTGTTTTGGCATGTGAGGATGGCATGCTTAGTTGTTTTCATGATAGTTTCTTGTTGTTATAATATCACTTAAAAACAACTCCAATGGACATTCTTGGCACATTTGGTTTGTCATTTTTTTTGTTCCGATTGGCAAGGCATTTAATAAATTTTAGACTTGCATGTTGCACATGAGTCTTAAAGATTTCATTCCTAATAATATAGTATTAACAGGATTTATGAATGTTGAAGGGTCTGCTATCTGATAGGTCTTCGTACCTGTAAGATCTTTAGGTCAAAGATTGTCCTTTGAATGAAATGTTTTTTGTCAGTCTAATACTTGAATTCCAACCGAATCTAGGACCTAAGTATATACATTTTTTTCGCGATTTCTTGCATTACAATATCAATATATGCCTCAACACGACTCACTGACTTGTTCTCTTTTCTTCACTTAAAAAAACAGAAGATGAAGAATATACAATTCCCCTGATTTCATTCCTTCGATGATAAATTTTTTGCTAGCACGGCAATGATACATGGGAAAGGGTCAAATTTCTTGGTGTTCAATTCAATTTTTTCCCTTGGTATTCTTCCGTGTGCATGGCATGATGTTGTTGTCTAGCTATATCTTGCATGCAAGTTGATTTAGATTTCTTTATATAGACATTAATTAATTAATTCTCTAACTCTCTTGAAAGTTTGGTACAACATTCAACATAGAGACTTGGGTAATTAAAGCATACTTTGGGATCCAAACAAGTTAAATTTATACTACTGGTTTTGGGGATTCATTCAATTTAGACTGGACAGTGAGTTAATTAATGAGACAACTAAGGCTGGGTTGGGTTAATTATATGGTCCCAAATTGACTTTATTCGATTTGCATGTAGCCTAAGATACATACAAACCAAATCTTCTAAAGAAGAAAAATCTGGCTGATGTCTCCACCACTCTCCATTTCTCATGCAAACTCACCCGTCTGAATCATCGAAACACCCAATGCCTTGATTCGTAAGAGTTCTTCCAAACCCCAAAAGAGAGAAAAAAAAAATCTTAAAGATCCTCTGGATGATTACCTAATTTTGACCAACCTGCATGTTAAAATGGGAAAAGAAATACTTTTACAATGATCGAAAGATGCCACGGGAACGTTTGGTACGAGCCCAATTGACCCAGCTTGACTAATATTGACCACAAGATCATGATCCGACGGTCGAAATTAACTGGGTTTGGCCCATTTGCAATAGGCCCATTATATCGTACAAAGACACACTAAACACGTATTAGACGAATTATTATATTCCCATGACACGAGTAAATCATGCACTGGATCCCAGGGCTCTTGTCCTTGAAATTTCGGAAACATTGACAAAGTAGTACACTAGTAATTAACCACAACCCTACGGCGTCGTTTCTTCACCAACCAAGATGTTTCTCCTATACTCCATCGTTTTCATGCAAAATTTCCACGACCCTGTGTATATATATATCCTCCTCGTCTTCTCCCTTTCACCATCCCCATAAAACAACTCAAACCACAAAAGCTAAGAGAGACAACTTCTCTTTTCCTCTTCTTAACTCCTTTTGCTTTCCCTTTCTTTGTTTAATTTCGCTGCTTGAGTTTCATTCACCAGAAAGACATGGCTGTGGATTTTCCAATCACAACATATTTCACGGCTAATTTCATTATAGGCCGTTTGATGTCCATCATAGGGATATCGAAGGCCTGGAATATTTCACCTAAGTTCCTAACCCTTGAAATTGCTGGCAAGCTATCCGTTAATCCTTCAGCCATTGAATCAGCCTCTCAAGATTTTGGTCACATTGTGAAAGCCATTCCTGAAGCAGTTCTTCACCCTTCATCCGCCGAAGACATTGCTACCCTTGTAAAATTCAGCTACAACAGTTCGGTTCCCTTCAGCATAGCAGCCAAAGGGCACGGCCATTCTGTCAGGGGCCAGGCCATGGCAAACAACGGGGTGGTGGTGGACATGACATCTATGAAGAATCATCGAAACGGAAGCGGAATCCGAATCTCGAGTGACGGGTGTTGCGCAGATGTTGGAGGCGAACAGCTTTGGATTGATGTGCTAAACGCCACATTGGAACGTGGACTTGCACCCGTTTCCTGGACTGATTATTTGTACCTAACCGTAGGTGGGACACTCTCCAATGCAGGAATTAGTGGGCAAACCTTTCGATATGGTCCGCAGATCAGTAATGTTTATGAAATGGATGTAATAACAGGTATGATTCTTCCACCTCTCCTTTCCACATTTTCTTTTTCCCTCTGTTGAAAAACCCTGATCAGACAAATTAGCTGGTGGTTGATCATTATACATTTAAATGTAGTCCTTCTCACATATATTTAATTATTTCTGGAAACGTACTCGTCCAGGGTCCCACGGGTAGGAAGCCATGGACAAAAGTTCACACGGCGCTGAGCATCCCTTAGCCACAGACGTTTCATACAAATTCAAAATTTTCCAATCGGTTTACAATAATGTATGATGTCACTGTAAATAATTTGATTCCTCTCATAATTATATTTCATGCGAGGACAACCCCCTGGTAGATTTAACCAAACGGTGTTTAAAGGGTCAGATTGTTAGTTTTTCTCCCCGTCCAATTATTTTATGTTTTAGTGTACCGTATTACAACAAAAAAAAGCTAACATTAGACGACTATATTATAAGTTTTATGGTCTACATATTTAAATGCTCTATGTTGCTTGCATGCATGCAGTTGTTTAGAGGGTTTGGGTTTACTTACGAGCTAGGTCTCTGCCTCTTCAATTTCAGGAAAAGCTGATTTTCATACTTGCTCCCCAAAGAAGAATTCAGAGCTCTTTCATGCTGTTCTGGGAGGTTTAGGTCAGTTTGGAATAATAACCAGGGCAAGAATTCCACTTGAGCCAGCCCCAAAAAGGGTAAATATTACTTCGGAACATGCTTATTAGCCCCACTCATATGAGCCATTCTTTTCCTTTGTTTTATGTTCAATCTCTCTCAATTAAATTTAATTTTGAGACCCTGATGATTCTGTTCCGGTGATTCTGTTCTCAGGTTAAGTGGGTACGAATGTTGTACAATGATTTCTCTGCTTTTACTAGAGACCAAGAGCTTTTGATCTCGATAAATGGAAGGAAAGACAAGAATGCACTAGATTATTTGGAAGGTTCACTTATGATGGATCAGGGTTCTCCTGACAACTGGAGATCCTCCTTTTTCCCACCCGCAGATCACCCCAAAATAATGTCCTTGATAACCGAGCATCGCATCATCTACTGTCTTGAAGTTGTCAAGCATTATGATGATCAAACCAAAAGCACAGTGGACATGGTAAATGATCGCGTTTATCATTCTTACAAAAGATATATGATCATGAATACCATAATGTTTTTGCTGAATATAATAGGGTAATAATTTGCCTATGGATTTTTCCTTTTTAGGAGCTGCAACAGCTTTTGAAAGGTTTGAGCTACATGCCGGGACTCATGTTCGAAAAAGATGTCCTCTATGCAGAATTCTTGAATAGAGTCCGAAGTGGAGAGCTGAAGCTTAAGTCACAAGGATTATGGGATGTTCCCCATCCATGGTTGAATCTTTTTATACCCAAATCTCAGATAGCAGATTTTAATGATGGTGTCTTCAAGGGCATCGTCCTTGAACGAAACATTACTACAGGACCTGTCCTCCTTTATCCCATGAACAGAAAAAAGTAAGTGTTTCTAATTAAAATTTTATATTATTTTTTTACATTCTTTGATTTTTGTACTGAACCAAAAGCTTTGATACTTTCAATAATAATTTGATGTTGAATGATGGCAGATGGGATGATAGGATGTCAGCTGTAATACCAGACGAAGATATTTTCTACACAGTAGGAATCTTGCATTCTAGTGGGTTTAATGATTGGGAAGCCTTTGATGATCAAAATAAGGAAATAATGCATTTCTGTGGTAAGGCTGGTATTGGGGTTAAGCAGTATCTTCCTCATTACACCGCCAAGGAAGAATGGATTCAGCACTTTGGCTCAAAATGGAAGACTTTCCAACAGAGAAAACATCAGTTTGATCCCAAAATGATATTGTCACCAGGACAAAGGATTTTCAATAACAATTAAGTCCTAGTATCTATCTTTTTTGTTTTTGGTACTTTTAGGGTTATTAGTAGTACAAATAATATATTCTTTTCCTGGGCTTTTTAGGGGGAAAGTTAGTATATAACTCTATGAGTTGTGGTATATATTCTTCTCACAAGTTAACCCAATTAATATGTAGATTAATGGTCGAATATTCTCTTTGCTTCTTTTTTATTTCTTTCCCTCTATAATCTTGCCATTAAAACTTACAATCAATCTCCTTTGTATAATGAGTAGTGCAACAATTAGATAACAAAGAATAATCATAAAAATCACACATACATTTCATGTACATGCACTTGCATAAATTAGTGAGAGAATCCAACAACTGGAACCTCCTCTCATATTTTTAATGTAATCCTTAACCTTCTTTCATCTATTTTTATTAAACTGAGAACCTTTTCAATATTTAAATTAATCTAAGAATATTGGACTATTCCGTTTATAACTAAGTCTGCAAAATGGTCCAATTGATATTCTCCTCACCTAAATTTGGAGTGATCAAAAGGTTGGTACACATTACATGTACTGGTTAGTCTGTGTATAATCCATGTTAATTATCCAATCCTCACAAGAATGAAAAGAATTCCATAATTCAAAGGAAAGAGTTCAGCTCATACTACACCATGTAAAAGAATAGTGTGAAATGCTTAAAGAAGTTTAGGAACATCTCCTGACCAAAGGAGAAAGAAAGAATATTAAAAGACTATGATTGGTGTGGTAGGCAACATTGCCTCCAATAGTGAGGTAGATCAATTAACACTACTACCACTATAATCATGGCATAGACAAGAGTAAAATTAGCTTGTATAAGGTTTCAAATTCCCTTTTCACTTGAATAAAAAATTACTAGTAATTAATATCCATGATCTCCTCAGTGCCTGCTGCTGGCTATAGCCGCAAGAATCACATAAAGAAAGGCCCCTTTTTTTTTTAATTTTTATCAACCTTAGCTTATTATAATGTTTCAGGATGTTGGCAACTCTTAATACATATTGCTCAAAACCAGGAGACATGAAGCAATCTGGCTGCTCCCCCTCCATCATTTTTTGACTTTTTCCCATAAAAGCTTGTCGGTGTTTTTATATTAATTAGTGTTTTGTAATTAACATCTTTTGCAAAAGAAAAGAAAAGAAAAGAAAGATGATGTGAGAAACCATATATACTACTGTTAAAATACTCTTTTTGAGTTGAAAATCCACACGTTTTGCTCAATGCAAAGGTTATTTTCCTTTTGAGCAGACTTTGTTTCTTAAGGGATTATACCATGCGAAGGAAGAGGAAAACAACAGCTCCTCCATTCGTCTTCATCGCCAGCAGACCCACGTGTGGTTTTTCCTCTTAAATGGAAATCCGTGTTCATATCTAACCCACTTTTGCTCTCTTCCTTCCTCCCAGTTTCCTACTCATTCCCTGTCAAAATTTCTTCCGAGTAATTATTGGTATTAGGATTTGATTTCGACGCCTTAAAGCATTCAAAGATTTTAAGCTGTCGGAGCAATCATGTTTTTGTTTAACAACTTAATCATGGCCAACTACAAACATTTACCATATGCCATCACTTGTGCTTGCAAAATCACTCTCTTTTTTCAAACTATTTCATCTTTCAATTCAACATGTCATAACCTCTGGTCCATCTTCTTGACCCTGATTAACATGATGATTTTACTGAAGTGATGATTTAATTATATAGAACAAAACTCTGTTACTTCATTTTATATTTTTTTCATAATTTTACGTCACGGGTTTATATTTTTATTTTATTGATAAAAAATTTTTAATCCCTAATTTTAAAATTTTGAACTTTAAATTCAAATAATAAAAATATATAATTTAACCATGAGATTAGACGTTAATGTAGAATGTTTGTAAGAATCTGTAAAATTATATAAAGTGAACCTTTGGGACCTCAAAAAGGACAGATCCTGGATTACTAAGGCCGATGAGGATGGAGGCCCGAGTTCATTCCCAATTCCTTACTGCTTGTTTGGGTTCAAGCCACAAAGAATGAGCCTACGGGCCTGGCTTGACAAATAGGGGCTCCGCACCCCAACTCTTCAAGGTGGGCTTCCATTGGGCCTTCTTTATTTTCTTTTTGAAGAGTACGGTAAGGTTGGAGCATATTATTAACACTTGAGGTGGCAGGATTTAATTGGTCACTGATTAATACTAGTAGGCACGGTACCATAGAATCTCCAGCACGGTGCGCTATAAAAGATTTCGGTGTTCTTCTTCACTGTGGCTTAGCCATGGACCTCTCACCATTTCCAGTAAATCATCAAGCTTTCCCAACATCTGCACGTTCTCTTTACTTTCTGCTTTTGCAGGCCCGAACCCACTTTCCAAATAATAGTTTCAGAGCTCTCAAATTCAAACCTTCTTGTTGTTCTCATCAAACAATAAAGGTTGGTGTTGAGATAACTAGGAAGAGGAAGCCCAAGCCAAGTTTTTTGGATCAAATTAAGGATAAATGGTCTCTAAAACCAATCACTTCCACAAGAGAGAAGTTTCCATGGCAAGAACAAGAGGAACTTGAAGAAGAAGAAGAAGAAGTGGAAAGAGAGCAGTCTTTTAGCGGGCCCATATCTAAGTCAGAAAGTGATGAGGACCCACAAGTTGAAGGGAGTGACCCAGTGAGGTCCTCTTTACCGAGTCGGGTAATTTCTGCTCCTTGGTCTCATGGAAGCGAATTCAATGAACCCCATTTTGATTTTGTGCCTGAAATTTCAAATTTTGAGTCTAAAATAGGAGATAGTTTTGCTAGTAAGAAAACAATTGAGTTTCCAGGAGGAAACAAGGCTGAAGTTGTTGGTGGCCTAATTGAAAAATCAGAATCTTTAAATGAGGAAGTTAACATAAATAAGAAAAAAATTGGATTACCAGTTGAAAACGAGGTTGCAGCAGCTGACGGCTTGAACGATGTAGTTTCTTCCAGAGAGAATGTCGAGGTTTCTACTAGTGATGATGAGGGTGGTTCAGTTGAAAGAGGATAGCGGGAAAGTAAGAAGAGGAGCAACACAGTGATGGTGGACAAAATGATACCGGAGCATGAATTGCGCAGGCTAAGGAATGTTGCATTGAGGATGGTGGAGAGAACAAAAGTTGGAATTGCAGGGATCACGCAGGCCTTAGTGGAGTACATTCATGAGAGATGGAAGATGGATGAGGTGGTTAAGTTGAAGTTTGAGGGCCTCTTTCTCTTAACATGAAAAGAACACATGAGATTATGGAGGTTAGTTTTTTACATTGCTTTGATTTGTTATATTTCTATAATTACTTGAAATATTAAATCATTTCACTCTGTTTTTGTCTTTGATGATATACTTCCAGTGGATAGATTTATTGAAAATATTATTGACTGAAACTGGAATCTTAGTTTAGAGTAGAATTCATACAGAATTGAGTCCACCTATTTAATGTTGTGTTTATCAGAATTGAGTCTGCTAGCTATCGTATATTAATTATCTTTATTTTTCATCAGAAAAGAACTGGGGGATTGGTTATATGGAGATCAGGCAGCTCATTGGTGTTGTACAGGGGGATGGCCTACAAACTTCATTGTGTTCAATCATATACCAGTCAGAATAAGGTTGATATGAATGCTTTGGATTGTTCAAATAATGTTGAATCTGATACCACCCAAAATATAGTAGTTAAAGAATCTGTTAGGACCATGGAGTCCTTCATGCCTTCTTCTTCAGAGTATTTAACTGATTTGTCTAAAGAAGAGCTCATGGATTTGTGTGAACTCAACCATTTGTTAGATGAATTAGGTCCACGGTATAAAGATTGGTCAGGTCGTGAACCATTGCCTGTTGATGCTGACCTGCTTCCTCCTGTTGTTCCTGGATATCAACCCCCATTCAGACGTCTTCCTTATGGGATAAGACATTGTTTAAGGGACCGTGAAATGACTTCTTTCCGTAGGCTTGCAAGGACGGTGCCTCCACATTTTGCTTTAGGTAAATTAATGTATGAGATGGTCTTTGAATTGCCAGATATTTCTTTTTCGTTTTTCTCCTGTTTTTCCTTTTTCTTTTATTTAATCACCAAATCAGTTTCTTTTTGAGGGATTCTATTTCCTGATTTTTACAGGAAGAAACAGGGAACTGCAAGGCCTGGCACAGGCTATGGTGAAGCTATGGGAAAGAAGTGCTATTGCAAAGATAGCCATCAAACGTGGAGTGCAAAATACACGCAATGAAAGAATGGCTGAAGAACTCAAGGTGAGAGATTACAGATATTGTTGCATCTTGAAATGTAAATTTAAATATTTTTGAGGATTTAGTCAGCTTATGGAAGGAATATGAAATGAGGGATTCAAGTATTCTAAAGAAGACACTTCCCATCACCTGGATATTGCTGTTTCTCTTATGAAAGGAAAGAGAAAAATGATATGTAAACCTATCGATATCATTGTCTGTTTAGCCCCTAAATTTAGTATTTTGATATTCTCATGTATTATATAGCAGACTCCCCTCCTCCCCTTTCATCCCTTTTTTAACTCTCTTGAAATGAACTTGTTGATGGAAGTTTTCTGCTCAGTGAGAAACATACATTCAGTTATGTATTATATGGTATGCTAATGAGGCACATCATCATTTCAAATTTGAAGCAAATGCATGTTGATGACTATGTTCAAAATTTTGCTAAATTTTTTGTGTTAGATAATGAAAACAGGTATTTCAATGTTTGAGCAGAATAAGGATGGATTAGAATACTATAAATCCATTGCTTTTGGCTTGATTTTACTAATCTTTGAGATTTGTTTTTTTACACACCAAATTCAAGCTCAGGCTACCTTATTACTTATTCTATCAGGCTTTTGGACAATTGCCTTTTTTTCTCTATTCTTTTGGTGCTCTAATCCGTTGCTTCTTAGATGCTTATTGCTTATTGCATATGCATTTTGCCTATGCAGCAATTGACAGGGGGGACACTGCTTTCCAGAAACAAGGAATTTATTGTCTTTTACAGGGGCAGTGACTTCTTGCCACCTGTTGTAACAAAGACATTGAAAGAGAGGCAAAAATCAAGAAATCTTCAACAAGAGGAGGAAGAGAAAGCACGAGAGAGGGCCCTGGCCTTGGTTGGATCTAATGCCAAAGCTTCTAAACTTCCTTTGGTTGCTGGCACCCTTGCAGAAACCACTGCTGCAACGTCTCGCTGGGGGCACCAACCAAGTGTTGAAGAGGTGGAGGAAATGAAGAAAAACTCAGCTTTGACTCAACAGGCTTCACTAGTCAGATATCTTGAGAAGAAACTAACTCTTGTAAGTTACAGATACAGTAACTAAGAAACTATAAAAATATTCTCAAACATTTTATAACCCTGACACTCTTTCTGATGTATGCCGTGTTTCTAATTTTATGGTCCTAGGCTAATGGGAAGCTGAGAAAGGCCAATAAAGCTTTGGCTAAAATGCAGCAGCATCTGGAACCAGCAGATCTCCCAACCGATTTGGAAACTTTGAGTGGGGAGGAAAGAATTTTATTTCATAAGATTGGTCTGAGTATGAAACCCTACTTGCTTTTGGGTAAGAATGGGGACTTTGCTTCTGCTTATTGCTTCTGACAGGACAAGTCAAATATTTATGTGGTTTTTCTGTTTTAGGAAGACGAGGTGTTTATGATGGGACAATAGAAAACATGCACCTGCATTGGAAATATCGTGACTTGGTAAAGATAGTTGTCAAAGGAGAAAGTTTTGCACAAGTCAAGCATATTGCAATTTCATTGGAGGCTGAGAGTGGTGGGTTGCTAGTATCTTTAGATAAAACTACCAAAGGCTATGCAATTATTATCTATCGAGGGAAAAACTACATGCGTCCTTCTGTATTGAGGCCCAAGAATTTGTTGACAAGAAGACAGGCATTAGCTCAGTCAGTTGAACTTCAGAGACGTGAGGTAACATAGTAATAAAATTCTTGATCCTTTATATGATACTTCTCCAACTAAAATATAATGTTTTCGCTTCTATCTAATTTGCTTCCTGCATTTTCTAGGCACTGAAGCATCACGTCTTGGACTTACAGGAAAAAATTGAGTTAATGAAATCAGAACTGGTATTCTTTTCAATTTAGATATATATAATTTCATAGTGATATTTAGCAAGTGGTTGCTTGCTGAAGATTTTTATCTCAATAATATGTTTTTTTAATTTAGGAAGAAATGAAAACTCAGAAGGAGATTGATGTAGAAAAAACTTGATACTCAAGGTTGAATGAAGCTCCACTTTTTGATGAGGATATTGAAGAGGTAAATGAACTCCTAAACTTTTATAACTCTCTAGGTAAAATGTATGTGCTGGAAAATATACATGCAGTTCAATTTCTTCCACCTTGGTATGAGAGTTATACCCTTTAGAAGTTACAATCTTCCTTTTGGCCACATTTCCTATTACTCAAAGAATGCTGACTCTTCAGTTATTTACATCTCACAATAGTCATTAATAATCTATAATTTTCTTTTTCTTAATTGTGATATCCCATATTTCACATCTGATGTGAATGTGATTATTAAGATTTATATAACAATCTAAGTTTATCATTACTAGCAACTTGAGCTTGAGCTTTTGAGGGTCATGTGGTTTAGGTCAAAAAAGTTGTTAGGTCAGTGCTTGTACTTGGATTGTTACAAATGGTATTAGAGTCTGTGCTAATATAATGTGGGCTTCCACATTGCTTTGGTGAGTTCTTGATCTTGTGGATGATTAGTGATCTTAATGAGGACATCAAGGATTTGAATGGGTGGAATTGTAATACCACACATACCACATCTGATGTGAATATGATTGTTAAGACTTACATAACAATCTAAGTTCATCATTACTAGCAACTTGAGTTTGAGCTTTTAAAGGTCTCGTGATTTAAGCTAGAAAAGTTGTTGATCCAGTGCTTAGACTTGGGTTGCTACATTAATGATATCACATCTGGCAGAAATGGGAGAGAATGGTTCATGTAGCTGAGACTGACCGCTCTGAGGTTAAGTCTCAGTTCCATCCGTGGTCTGATATGGGAACCTGTCACTTATGTTTCTAGTTCTTATGCTAAGATGTTATGTTCCCTTTGTACTGATATTGATAGCAAACGGATATTTGGTTGAATCAGGACTAATGGGAAGCGCATCTAGAAACATGACAGTAGCAATGATGATGGTCATGAGCAAAAGGAGCTTATGTGCATATAATAGTTTGTCCACCAGATTGGAGCACGGAGTACCAGCAACAGCAGATGTTTAAAAGGAAAGACAAATAATTTAACATTCCAGCCGGTGGGCAAGGGAAAGGTCATCTAGCAATGGAGATCATAGAATTGTGATTTGCCTTGGACGTTGTCCTGACATTATTTGGCAAATGTCCTCTAATGCAGCTAGTGTTAGGTTAGGATTCACGGACAAATTTTAGAAGCTTGTAGGTTCTTTCGCATGAGCTGTAAATACGATAATGTAGCAAAAGGTTCATTTATTTATTTTCCTTCCATCTTCTGTGTTCTTAATAGGTTTGAAGCAATCTGATATTTCTGTGAACTTGCTTTTTTAGCAGCTTGCAGCCATGGAAATGGTTGTGAAAAAATAACAAATAAAAGAATATACATTGCCACCTCTTCGAAGACCGAATATAAGACTTACAAAACTAACTTGGAAGACTCAAAGCTTTCCTGAAATTTAATCAAATTATTAAGAGTGCTCAAGTGAGATCAATTACGGCTGCAGGGCTTACAATGCTGGAACATTCCATTGGTGACCTGAATTGCGCTTTTATTGTGAGGAGAAAAGTTTAAATGCTCAACATCAAAGCTGAAATGAAAGGCTTATCCACTGATCACATAAATTGCCTACTTCGGGGCAACCTTGTCTTGCTCTAAGACTATCTTTATAAAGTTCACAACGATGGATGCCAGCTCAGTTTGATGTGAGGTGTATCCATGATTGGCTCCTTCCATGATGTGTAACTTGTGATTAGGTATGATCTTGGCAAACTCCAATGCATCTTCAATGGGAATTATCTCATCAGCAGATCCATGGACTGTCAAGACCCTGTAAATAAGATTGGTGAATAAAAGTATATATAAGCATATATTAGTGTAATTAACTGTCATTTTACAATGACATCTACAGCTATATCAATGAATTAATGGAGAGACAGTGATTTCGAAAGAACAGTAATAGGCTCTGGATTCAGAGTTTTACCGACATTCTTTGTCAATCTTAGGGCAAGCTTCATGCATATCTGTTCTTAAGCGTTCCATTAAACTTTCCTCAGTCACATGATATTCCACACCTCCTACATACATAAAATGTAATTCAACCATGAAATGTTGCCAATTGAGCAAACAAAAAAAGATTGAACAAGAGTGATTCAGCAAGCGAGCAACCAAGCAATATATATGGGGCTGAAAGAGAGAGAGAGAGAGAGAGGTGGGGTAGGTGGGAAAAATATATGCCTAGTTTGATTTTGATAGGGTAGTACATCTTACGCTTTCCACATTTTACAAGCAATGTTTTTTTTTCCAGGAAACATTAAAGAATTGTTTGCATTTCTAACACAATTTCTATTTTTCTTTTCTCTCAAATGCCAAAAGCTAGTAGAGCACTTTAAGCAGCTGTCTTCATCACTGATTATGTGGCCACATTCCCTATCTGGATTCTTTAGAGTAACGTTTAAACTGAATGGAAAGTTCCATAGGAAGGACTCGTGATTTTCTCAACCTAACAAACAACAAATACACCCTCACAGACATAAACAAAACAGAAGTGAGGAACTTATACACGTCATGGAAGCAATATAAAACATTACCTGTCTTATTCTTAACATCAATATATCCATCCTTCTTAATTATTTGCATAAAGTCCTCTCCCAAGCGTTCAGCAATGCCTCTATTCAAATCGTAGCGGCCAGAAACATTGACAACTATATGGATATCTCGATACTTAGAAGCATAGAGAAGCACCACATTGCCTCCTGCATTTACATTATTTTAGTGCTACAACACTTACAGGGTAATATTCATATGGAAACTTACTAGCCATTATCACATTAAAGTAAATGGATTAGTTAAATTACAGCTGAAAAAATCTAATTGCCAAACTGAACACTTAAGCCTCACTAACTCAAAATGAAAAGAAAATGTACTCTAAATGTCAGCTTGGTTACATATTCCTTCCTTATATTAATGATCAAACATTATAAACAAAAGATATTGCCAAGATCCAACAGAAAGTAGACCTGAAATTAACTCATTGTCTGGAATGTAATAGAAGATATAATCTTCATCAACTTGGTTCCCCTTCAAAAACTCACATACAACTTCTACTGCATAGTGTAAAATCATTTTCTATTTTCACTAGTTTGTAAAATTTCATGTATGCAACACTTAGGATACTCACCTTTGCTATGCCCAACAATCGCACTTACCACACGATTTTCCCCAGAAAAGTGTTGAATTACAGCATGTAAATCATCAGCTTCTCGGGAATAGTTACCATACTGAAATGAACCTTCACTCTCTCTGAATAATGTATGATAAAAATAAATTACAAAATCGAAACAGAGCAAAGAGAGCCCACAACTCACGAAATTGAAATAGAGAAGTAAGAACTACACCATATAACACATGTTGTCTATGCAACAGAAACCAGCTCAGAAAATCTCTACTACTCACCCATTTCCAGCAAAGTCAAAACGAAAGACACTGATTCCTTCTTTCTCTAAAGCGGAAGCAAGGTTCACCATGGTATTGTAGTCCTGAAGTAGAATTAACCCAAGTGAGATTCCATAAATTATCACTATTTCTACGTGAGCAGACATTTACAGTCAGTATATTTGTTATCTAAAGCAAGGCAAAGGAGATGAAAGGACCCAACTTCATAACTACCAACCTTTCTGGATCTAAAACCATGGCATAAGATAACAATCTCTTTAGACCCAGTTTCGTGCAACAATCCCACCAGCTTTTCTCCATGCTTGTTCGGAATTATCACTTTCTGCTGCTCAATCACTAAAATATAAAAAAGGGTCAATGTTTTTTCATCCAAAATTATTACATTAAAAACTGGAATCATAAAATTACAAATCAAATGACTATCTAATTTGGGACCTGGGTCTTGGGCAGAGTGAGAGTGAGCCATCCTCAAGGTTGTTGACTTTGCTTTGGAGATGCGATTGGCGGATGAGATGAAGGGGAGCTGTCGAAAAGGAGATGTGGGATAAATTGATAAATTTAAGAGAAATGAATGAAAATTATAAGCAATAGTTTCCATTTCTGAGTACCTCTCCCTCTTTCTTGTACTATAACGAATAATGCAAGACCCCAAATGGGAGTAAGCAAAACTGCTTATCACTTATCACTTATCCGTATAACAGGATCGCAGAGAAACAAGAATAAGTACCAGATTGGCACCGCTTTATAGAGTACTGCTCCTCCGTCTAGCTCTCTTTGTTTTTCGTTTTTTAATTTACCTTAACTGATTATCTTAAAAATTTAAGGCCTCACAAAAAGGATTCAACCCTTTATTTATAGCTTATTGAAACCTAAAAGCATTTCAGACGTTTAGCTAGCTCAACCTTTGGTTGAACACACGATTCAATTACACTGGCGAGCCAACTTTCTCATTGCTTAGTTGACCTCTCCAGTTATGTTCCTCAGTAACCAAGAGTTACGAGGCCAAAATCAATTCAAATGATTCTGCTTAGTGTGTACAGTTTTTTTTTGACCATCTTCGATGTCTAGTGCTACACCTACACCTTGTATGCGGTTAAACATGGTCTAGGAGCACCATTGGTTGGACAGAGTGGGTCCCATGTTCCTTGCACAATATGATTAACAAACGTTTAAACAGGACTAATTGCAGGGTATTCCATAATGGGGAAAACCACAAGAATCAACCCCATCTAGGACCTGCTCTATTTGGTGGTTATCATTAAGGGTGTGCATGGGTCGGTTTCGGATCGACTTTTCGTCAAAATCGATCAAAATTTTTTAAGATATAACTGATCGAACCGCATTGATGTAAAATCGATTTCAGTAAGTTTTTTAGAAGATTTGTTTTGGTCGGTTTCAATCGGGGGGTTGGGGGGGTGGGAATCAGGTCGGATTCGCCGGAGGGGGAAGAAGTTAGGTCGGTGATGGGGGGAATTAGGTCGGGACTCGAGAGGGGGGAAGGAGTTAGGTCGGCGATGGGTAGGAGTTTAGGTCAGGACTCAGAAGGGGGGGAATTAGTGAGGTCCAAGGCGAGCCGTCAAGGGCTCGATGGATTTTTTTTATTAATATTTTAGTCGATTTTTCGATCGTTCGGAGAGGAAGGAGTCCCCCCCGACAATCGCCCGATTAGCCGACCAGACCGATCGGAGCAACCGACGGTTGAAAAAACAACCGTCGATTACAATAACCGACGGTTGAAAAAACAACCGTCGATTACAATAACCGACGATGGCGATCGGTTGAGAGCGTTGGGCCTCACACTCCTAGTTATCATGTTGTTGTCCTCATCCCATCTCTTTGTGCGCCAGATGTGGTTGGTTATCTAACAGCTTTGCCCCCATCTTTAGGCCCAAAAAAATGGCCCAAACACTAAGCCAGTGACATGGGCCAGGAGACTTTTAACCATAACAGCACATACAAAGCATGCAAATACTTAAGACATTCTTTATGTATTGCTGAATCTTGGAATTACTTAAAACGGTGAATTTGGCCTTCAATAAAACGTAAAAGTTGGCCTCATTACATCCATCATTCAATTCAGTTTGCGATCACAAAGTCAAATTAAAACTTCTAATCAAATATGAAAGCTTGTAAACAATAAGGACAACCAAGATCATAAAACTTTCTAATAGTGAATCCTGACCAAAGATTAAATTAGCCAACTTGGTAACAGAACCTGAAATGAAAACTTATATACATAGACTTGTCTCCAAACACACAAAAGAGCGATGACCAACATATGCTATTTCTCTGTCTTACACTGGGAACATTCCATCAGCCCCCTCTATCACAATCTTACCAGGAGCAAGGTTAAAATTAACTTGAAATTTTATTTCAGATGAAAAGGTTTATCTGTTTATTGGCACGAAAAGCAGCTAGTAATTAGGTGTATCCTACTCCTGCTGTAAAGCTATCTTTATATAACTCAACACCACAGAAGCTAATTCAGTTTGATGTGAAGTGTAGTTATGATCAGCTCCTTCTACAATGTGCAATTTCTGGTTAGGTATAATCTTGGCAAACTCCAATGCATCTTCAACAGGGATTATATCTTCATCAGATCCGTGGACTATCAAAACCCTGTATATGAACACTTCATGAGACTTGCTTTTTATACCAATAATAACTTGAGAGAATTATCTAACACCACAAGAAAAATTCCAGAGGGATGTGGTTCATTCTCACCTGCATTCTCTAGGGATCTTAAGACATGCTTCATGCATGTCTATACTTAAGCGCTCCATCAGACTTTTCTCAGTCACACGAAATTCAACACTTCCTACAGACATAAAATCTCAAATTCTCAATGAATGTGAAATGAAGCTAGAATGACTAAGCAACCAAGAAGAGGTGGAGGGGAATCTGCTCAATTAGTTTCTTGAATGATGAGGCATCATATCTTGATATTTGCATCATTCTACATCCAATTCTGGTTCATGATCAAACCATATCAAGAATTTACACAGGTCATTTACTATGTTTATATTTCTTCTAAAATTCAAAAAGCTAGAAGTAGGCTGGTGGAAGCAGCTTAATTTGCTTCATCACTTGTGATGCAGCCACAGAAGAAACACTTGGAGGGAAAGAAAATTTCAATTGGAAGGACCAGTGACTTCTCAGTTAACATTTAACAAACAACAGTGAGAAACTCAATTCATAGAATAATTATGGAAGCAAAATAGCAGTTACCTGTCTTATTCTTGATATCAACGAATCCATCCTTCTTAATTCTGTCCATGGCATCTTTTCCAAAACGTTCTTCGATGCCTTTCTTCAAATCATAGCGGCCAGAAACATTGACAACTGTATGGATATCATGATACTTAGAAGCATAGAGAAGCACCACATTACCTCCTGCATTTGCATTATTTTAGTTATATTGCAAGAGTGTAAACATGAAAACTTGCTAGCCGATGATTGAATCAAACCTTGTAAGTAGGCTGCTTGAAAAGAAAATTGCATTTGAACAAAGCTAATTAAAGCAGACTACTTAAGCCTCATTAATTCAACATGAAAAGAACATGGAGTCTAAAATCTAAATTATTCCTTCATAAACTCTGCTTGTCATATATGACAGCTACTCTAAGCAGTGGTATTCTATTTCTGTATCCAGTTATAACATCAATAATCAATGATCAAAATGTTATGAGCAAAACACCTCGGAAAATCCACTCACCTTTGCTATGCCCAAGAATTGCACTTACAATGCGGTTTTCCCGGCAAAAGTGCTGGGTGACAGCATGTAAATCATCAGCTTCTCGCAAGTAGTTACCAAACTCAAATGAACCTTCGCTTTCTCTAAAATGAGTAATGTGTCAAGTAATTAGATGATAAGCATCAAAATGAATTCATAACTCCCAAGACTGACATTAAGAGCATACACCACTTGACACAATTGAATCAAGCACACTTACAATCAAATTCTCAGAAGTATCTATACAGTAATTCTAATTCTGCCGGTAAATTTGACAATTGATTCATCAACAAAAGTGTGGTGAACATTAATGTCCAAGATAATTATCCCTTCCATTAGAATTAAATAAAAAGAATCTGTACTAATCTGCAGCATTTTATATCAAATCTGTAAGAAACAGATATTGACATTATATGCATCCCAGACTATTGGTATCTCTCAGTTAAATTAAGCTCCAAGGTGATCCAAATAGCCATGACACAAATGGTTATGAAACAGAAACCTCATAATAATGAGGCAATCTCCAAATAACTAGGAAACTAAACATGAATGTAGTCATTAAATCTCAAAAGTCCACAGCAAATACCCTAGCATATATACCACTTACCCATTTCCAGCAAAGTCAAAACGAAAGGCACTGATTCCTTCTTTCTCTAAAGCAACAGCAAGGTTCATCATAGTACGATCAGCCTGGAACACATGCCGGTTCTATAAGTGGGCTTTGAACCCCATAAATGAGTGATTCTACATATCACATTTTCATTTCAACAATAACGGATTATACGCCCCAGCTTACTCTTAATTAATGCGAGCATTTCAATGCTTGAATAAATCAAAGAACAGAAATATGAAAGGTCTCGACTAGAATTTACCAACCTTGGTGGATCTGAAACCATGGCATAAGACTACTATTTCTTTAGACCCAGTTTCATGCAATAATCCCACAAGCTTTTCACCATGCTTGTTAGGAATCACTACTCTCTGCTGCTCAATCACTGAAATACAACAAGGGTCAGTCGCCACGATTCGTTTAAGTAACTTTTCAAAAAATGAATCATAAAAACTCAAAACAAAATTATAAAACCTGGACTCTGCGCAGGGTCAGCCATCCTCAAGCTCGAGGTTGTTGCCGATGAGATGAAGCGATCTGGTGAAAGGGGAAATTTAAGAAAAGAGAAAGTTTTAGAATTTGATAAATTGAAGATCAATGGATGAAAATTACAAGCAAGAGTTTCCATTTCATCTACTTGCCTAGTGTTTCTGTTTCTTTTTCCTTACACTACAGCAGCAAAGCAAAGCCCCAAAAATGTTGTGGATGGGACAGGACGGGACGTTATAACAGAAAAAAAAAAGCGGATAACTGTTCGAAGTGCAATAAGTCTTTAAAGCTTAGCCTGGCCCACTCCGTTTAGGCCCGAGAAACTAACTAAGCTTGGATTGCAACAAACAAGGCTCATCTCTACCAGAAAACATTTATTTTTGTGCTGATTATATTTTTGGTCCAGTAAAGAATATAAAAAAAAAAAGAAATTGAAATTCATATTTTTCAATATAAAAATATAAATTTTATTTTTATTTGTATTAATATGGAGCTTTTCTCAACCACTATATTCAAAGTTTCATTTCACTCGGGGGTAAAAAGAATTTCTAAATGAAAATAATAGATTGGCCAAAAGAAATGAAAATATTACAAGTTTGGTATAAAAACTTGTTATTATTATTGATTAAATTAATTATTTTAATATGCATGGAGTAATCTTATGATATCATTAAATTATTTAAAAAATGCTCATTATAACTAATGGTTAATTAATTATCATTAATTAAAATGACATCTCATCTTTTATAGTCCAATGATTCTGATGTTGTTGAGTGTAAAAAATATCATATGACCATGTCACCATATAATATAATACGTCAATATGCCACATTAATATCACATAACATAAAAGATGAATGAGATTTTAATTACGAATAATCAGTCAATTGTTAAGTATTACAAATTAAAAGTAATAAAAAAACGAATTTTTTTTAAATTTTTTTAAAATAGTTCAAAAACTTCTTTTAAGTATTATATAAAAAAAATTATCATTTATTTCTTTGATAATGATATAAAGAGCATGTGACCGATACCTACAAAAGTAGTCTTGCTCTTTTCCTTTGAAAGTGCATCGTATTTTTCTGACTTGGTAGAAAAAACGTTAATAACATTAAAAGCATTTTATTTTACTTGTTTGGAATGTCTCGGCATGCGTGAGACAGTGCTAATATAAAGGACCACAGAGAGAAGAATATTATTATTATTGATGAAAACGTTGGGATCCATATATGAAAGAAAAAATATGGAATGGTCTCCGTTTATAACCTCTCAATCACCTTCATTTCAATTCAATCATGTGCCATGCATATTTCCATACGATGTGTCAATAATTCAATAATTTAATTGTGCCCTAACCCAAAAGCAAGAAATCAAAAGAAAACGTTAGCATCCCTCGCGGGGGGACCCCAAACGGGTAAATCAACGCGTTCACATACGCATGCGACCATAGGCCTGACGTTTATTTATTTTTATTTTGTTAACTTGACGTTTATTTATCTTTGGTTCGCCTGGCGGTTAGCAATCGCCAGGCAGCAATAAAGAAAATGCCAAGATGAGCAGCAACTTGGGTCAAAGTCTTGGACTTGGTTTTGCGAATCTAAGCTTTGGATGGAGACTTAACCAGCAGAAGCAGCAGCAGCAGCAGCAGCAGCTCGAATTTTGTTCGTTGGAGTTGTTGGGGGAGGGGGCAGGAGAGGAAAATCCGAGTGAGGACAAGTTCGAGAGGAACTCCAAAAAGTGCCTTGGAATTTTATTGGCTAGCTTGGCCTCGCCTCATCATACGCCATCCCAGACTTTTCGAATCAAAGGGATCATACAAATTAATCTACTTCATCACCATTCATTTCTTTATATGCAAACATTAATAATACTTAAGAAATGCTTGAATAAATGGAAATTAATTGAATGGTTCTGGGTTATTTTCAAATTTTAAAATCAAATCCTTATATTATAGATAAATTTTTTGAAATTCGTTCTTTTTTATTTATTTTTTTATCTTTGAAAGTCGTTCAGAAAGATTTCATTGAAAAAGGAGGAGAACGAATTTTTCCGCTTTTCAAGATACATCCCTGAGGTGCAGACTAAGCAGAGAGTCGTTCTTCTTGATTTTTTTAAATATTGAAAATGAAAGGAGGTGGAACTTTCATGTTTTTAGTTGTATTACCCACCCAGTGAAGTTATAGTAATTACGAAAAAGAAAAGAAGAGGAAGAAACATTGAAATTTCAGCAAAATCAACCTTTCAAACCTTGACAGGTTAGTTTATGAGTTGACAACCCCCTGAAACAAGACAGCCTCTTCCAAATCCTAGGTGAGAGTAGAGATAAGCCAAAATAATTTATAAATTAATATATATATATATATATACATATTTAAAATAAAATATTACGTAATCTTCATATGTACTTCTTGTGGTATAATCATTTCTCACATTTTTTTTTCATATAAAATTTTGTGTTTTATTTGTATCCCATAGAATTAACGACTTAAATATTTAATTGAATTTTTTATAAAAAAGATAATAAAATCCTTTATCCCCTTATTCCTTCTTTATTTGTTTAAATTGGTTGTATTTCTAGTCAGTTCTTCTTTCTGCTTAAATACCTTGTTTCCTTTCTTAATGAGCGCAGGAACTACATATTTGTTTAAGTTTTGGATCTAGCTATATGTTTCCTTTCTTGATTTTAAAGTTGCCAAATTTATTGCAAATTTAGTTTTTTTTTGTTCTTTTGTTTTTCCATTTTAAAATTTCATTGGGATTGAAGTTTAGTCTTTGAACTGATAATACAAGGGAGTAGTCATTTGGCAACTATGGTGATTGTTAAGCGCCTTCTGCTTTAACTAGCCACACTATCCTTGCTATTATGGTGACAATTAAGTTGTGATGTTTACTGTGATGAAGAAATGCCTTGGTCTACCCTTGGTGGAGGTTTTGAAACTTCTTCCCTGTGATGTTTTCGACTTTAGATTGGTTAAATATTATTGATAGCAGATTTTTGTACACAGGAAAATGGATTTATTGTGGTTGACGCCTCTCAATAATTTGTATAGTCCAGGGGAATTGTCTTTTTTTGTATGTACTTTTTGTTTATGGTTGTAGGGATTATTTTGAGACTCTATTAAGGATGATTATGTGGAAATATTGAGGAGGTATACCCATAGGTAGCAAATGGGGATACTCACCAATATTTCTAATCCCAGTACTTTGAAAAGAGGAAGTTCAATACCCTTTTTCTAATGAAATCTTATGAATTGTTTTTGACAAAAAAGAGAAAAAAAAAAGAAAAGTACCCCTGCCTTAATTGCTAGGGAACCAATAGTTGTAGAGGTTTCAAATAACCAGCCAATACTTGAACTCATATTTATTTATTTTTTGGTCCTTCTTGCATAATGAAAATGGGACAACCTTTATTAAAATCAAGAAAACTAAGATTTAATACACTCAATACAAACATGTAGTTTCTGTACCCATTAAGGAAGGAAACAAGTTGGTTAAAAGGACAGAAGAAACAATTGAAAATACAACAAATCTAGACAAATAAAGGAACAAAGGGATAAAGGATTTTCTTATCTTTTTATAGAAAACTAAATTGAATATTTAACCAGTTAGTCCCTACGGAATAGAAATAAATCACAAAATTTTATATGGAAAAAAAATTTAGGGTGTTATTATAGAAATGATTATATCACAAGAGGTATATGAAAAGTTTAACCTAAAATATATTAATAATAAATTATGTTGATAAAAAAGTGACCTCGTTAAATATTAATTATAAGTATGAACAATATTAAAATACAAAATTTTTAATAAACTTAAGATCAAGGTCCAAATAGAGCACATATGAAAGAAATAATTTTGAGTAAAGATTTTAAATTTAAATTCGTATACTCTTTTTTTTTTTAGGAAAAAAAAAAGAGCTTGACCTATTTTATAATTTGATTATAAAGTTATGGCCTAAAATATTGTTGCGATGAGAAGGAAAACACAAAACACTCTTTATAAGTCAATTGTATCTGATATTCTAAATTTATAAAGACTAATTCGACAAATTTTCTTCCAATTAATTGAAATAAAAATATCTCTTTGACATTCTTAATTTGTTGCATCGGCATTTATATCACAAATAAGTTGAGCAAGTTGTTTTATATAACTTTCCTGAAAATTTAATTCTCTGGTCTTTGGTTTTGAAAACTTTTCAAAAAAAAGTGTAATTATTCTCATGCTCCTTTTCTTTTTCTTTTTTTTAACATTTCCCACTTTGGCTTAATACAAAAATTGGCCACATAATTATATCAGAAATAAACAGAGTATAATCAAGTATTTTGCATTAAGTAATAATATAATATTTTATAATCGAGTTTAAATTTGAGTGGTACAACTATTACCTGTTACAGATTTGAGTAAAATTTAAATAATGACCTTCAATGAGTGTACATAAATATTGATGTGGTAGTAGTTAAGAGAATTGGCCAAAAGTTTAACAGCTCAATATTGAGAACGTCAAAAGTAAAAAGAATTCTATAACTCCCTCAAGACTTTTTCAATATGGTAGGTTAGCATCTCCTTCAATTGGAAATCATAATTTTGTTTGTCTTGCGAACCTTCTTTAGAACCTTAATTAATTATTACTAATTAAAATCCATGCTCAATCGATCTCAGCATCAAATTGTAATGAACCCGTCCCTCTAGATTCTGGGAACAGGTAAGCAGCTGTAAGCATTAGCTGCATCACCATATCTGAACACAATAAATAAAACATTTTCTTTTTTGAAGGATTGTGTGTTCATACTTTCTTATGGAATCCACCATGGAAACAATATTAAATGGAATCAAGCCTTGGGTCATGGAAAGAAAATTAAACAAACAAAATGTTTTACGTGTAATTGTCATAATTGAAAATTATTTTTTATATAATATTATTTTTCTCGTACAATCTCTTAAAAGTATAGATGTTGATTAACAAATTTTATATAATAAAATCGATATCATTTAATATTAATCGAGGTCACCCGTCAATTTAGTGTGTTTTCAAAATGATGAGTTTTATGTTAAATTTATTTGATGGAGGATTGGATACTGAATTTGCATGGAGTATGTATTTAATAATATAACAATTAAGGGTATATATCCCAAAGGAAA